CACCATGTCCTCTACACCAAAAGTCCTGGGGCTGCACTATCCAGGAAAGGGTGTGGCTGATACAGAGGAGAGAGCAGAGTGCCACTCCAGCCACCCCTGCTGGCTTGCAGGATAGGTGAAGAACACAAAAGTTAGCCCAGTGCCTGGCAAAGTTGATGCTTCTGCTGTTGCTGCCATGAGTGGGAATGCAGGTCAGTGGAACTAGAGCAGGCACAGGGCAGGGTGAGAGCAGAGCCTTCTGGGTACTGTGTATTAGAGAATAAACAGGGGTCTTCCCTGAATTGTCAGAGTTCTGGGAAGATCTGTGCTCTTTTAAGGAACTTCCTAATCCAACAAACATTTATGAAGCTTCTATTATGAATAAGCAGTAGAACACAGCCCTTTACACAACTAGTTAGAGCTATAAGAAGGGGTCCACAGTACACATGGCACTGATGGGCAGAGGAGAAGTGTCTAGCTCTGCTAGTCCTACTATATGCTGGGCACTGTGACTGAGTCTCAACAGCAATCCTAACATGTGGGTCCTGCTCTCCTCCTTTTTCAAATGAGGGTGCTTAGCTCAGAGAGGCCAAAGGTCACACAGCAGAGCCAGGGTTTGTACCAGGTCCTTATGACCCCACAGCCTTTATATTTTCCTCTAGGCCATACTGACCCTGAGGAAATCCGGGTGACCAAGGGAGGATGGCATTCCAGGTTGGTAAGATGGAGGAGGTAAAGGCATAGAGTTGAGAGGTTATTGTATGGGGGAATTGGATGGCTGAAACATAGGGTAAAAGAAAGGCCCAAGCTTGGGACCCCATCTCAGTAGCAAAATGGAGCCCAGGCCAGTAGATAGAGAGGAGGGGTGGGGCATTGGCTTAGCCTTGGTTTTGACCTTATCTTCTCCATTTGCTCCTGGGGCTGGGGAGCACTGCTTTGAGGCTTGGAGCAGGGGAGCAGGCAGGGACAATGTGGGTGGATTGGAGACTTAAGAAACCAGGGAACAATGAGAAACAGACAGCAAGAAAGAAACCCCCTGGAGTTATAACAAAGGAAAGAGGCAGAGCAGTGGGAGACAGGGAAGGAGTTGGGGCAGCCCTCTCCCTCATATCCCCAGAGGGCTTGAGGTTTGATACTGAGCTGGCCAAAGCACAAAAGAGTTCTTGTTGGGCTTCAAGAAGGAGAAACTAGCTCAGCGGGAAGAGCAGCCGATAGTCATCAGGGACAGACAAGGCTAAGAAGCCAAGCCGACCCATGCTGCCCAGGAGAGTGGCCAAGCCCACTCCACTGCCCACTCCACTGTCCCCACCCAGGCTCCTGGCCTACCTCTTCAATGAGAAGGATGTAAAAAGGGTGCGCTTCTCCCTGCCCACCTGGTCAGGTAGGAGATAGGCACTAGGCTCAGCCCCTGTTCCCTTGTCTCTGTGTCCAAGGAGAACACAGTCTGCAGGTGGGCATGGAAGTTGGGCAAATGAGGCAGGATTTCTCCCTCCCCTTACCCTGTCCCACACCCCTCCTTTCCCTCCCTCTCTTCCCAGAAACAGAGGACAGTCACCGTGCCTCAGGCGGGATGGCCTTGTGTTCTCTTGGTGACTTCACTGTAAATTGGATTCTCTGAAGAGTGGTGCAGGACAGGGGACAGAGGTAGGAACATGCTTCACCCCATCTAGAAGCTCCTTCCCCTACCTCTGCATTCACACAGAATTCCTCACCTCTCCCACCCTCCCTAGCTCTTGCAGGATACCTCCAGCTTTCTTGGGAAACGCCCCCCCCCCACCACCACCGCTGGGCTCCCAAGCAACAGGAACTTCCGTTGAAGAAGGGACTTGGGGCAAAGGAAATAATAGGCGACTCTGTACCACCTCTTTCCACAGGGACGATGACTTCTGCCTGTTCTCCTTTGGCAGGTGTTTGCAAGATCTTCTCAGCTAATCTGATCATTAGGTCAGGACAGAAAGGGGACTTGGAATTACTTCTCCCTTCCCCCATAAGCCCTAGCCCACCTTCATATAATGCCCAGGTCACACTGTCTCATTCAACAGAGCAGTATGGCTGTCTTTTGGCTGCAGGTGCCACACTCCACACTATAGAACAGTTCTGGGCTAGTCCAGCCAAAGGAGACCTCTTCACTGTGCAGGAGTGAGCTGGGGTCAGGGACAGTCTAGGAAGGATGTCCTGAGGCTGTGCCACTGGGCCCATGAAAATTTGTTCCTGGTGCCAGCTGTGCACTCACAGGTCACACACCTTGGGACAGGTCTCTTTCCTGGAGTAATGGAAAGGGATGATCTTGGTCCTGCCTGCCTTCTAGATTGTTGCCAGGAGCAGTTGAATTAGAGTACAACCATGTTTATATACAAGTGTGTCACCTGATTCAGTTCAGGATATGTATATAAGTGTGCTAACTACAAACTAGGCCATGGGTTATTATTATTATTTATAATAAAGCATGGTCAGTCTTTTTCAGGAGAATGTTTTTCTATAAGAGTTTCAAAATCCTTCCTTTCTCCTCACCTAATACCACAACCTGGAACTGGAGGATAAAGGACAATTAGGGGCAAGGAGGCCCAGCTTAGTCCAGATCCAAGGCAGTTTCTGATCTTTCTAAACCCCATCCTTGAGGCCTCAGTTTTCTCCTCTAGAGCCAGGTCCCCTAAAACCACCAGAGTGCTTTGTGGTGGGAAATAGCAGAGACCAAACCAGGGGACTGAAAGCAAAAAGAAACCCCATATTTGACATTTCTGGGTAGTTGTGTTATCCGGAGCTATGACCACAGTCACCTCTACCCCCAGCCCAGCTCTGACACCCTTCCTCCACTCTCTCAGGTAGCCTTTGCCCATCCTGGGAAAGCTACAAAGCTCCTCCCCCTGCCAACTCCATCTCAGAGGGAGAACTGCGGCACAGAGAAAAGAAGAGAAACCAGGCAGAATCAGAGAGACAGAGACCTGGAGAGAGAATCAAAGCAAGAGGAGGAAACGAGAAATGAAAGACATAAAGAATTCAGAGCCTCACAAAGGCTGAGTGGGGAGAGAGTCAGAGAACAGCCAGGGAACAGCTGCTGCACACAGTGGGATGTGGAGACCCTTGAGAGGTCTCAAGACCTTTCTGCTCCCTTTATGGCAAGCCCTTCCAGTTCTGTTCACTGGCACCTAAGTGCTAGCTTTTTAGGACCTAGTCCTACCCACCCCCTAGGCAAGCCAGGCCAGATGTTTGGTGGGTGGGGCTGCCAGCTGGAGCAGCAGGCCTCTGCAGGCCCTGGGGGAGGAGTCTGGAGAGGCAGCCGCCTGGAAGTGAGCAGGCAGGGTCCCCACTTTTAGGTGGGCACCCCCACATCACCCCTTTCCAGGTAGCCAGATAGAGTGCATGACTAGAGTGGTCCTCTGCCTCCAGACCTATCTCAGAGAACTTGGAACTTGCTCCCATCCACTCTTCAACTGTCTCCTCCTGAGGGCAGTACAAAGCTACGGACAAAGGTGCCAAGTAGGCCTGCCTACAATGTGGCAATGAGTTTAAACCTGCCACTGACAGGCTGCGTGACACTGGCCGAGTCACTTCCTCTCTCTGGCCTTTGTTTCCCCATTTGTAAAATCATCTTCATGCTCACTTCCAGCACTGATATTTGATTCTCATTCCAGAAGACCCCCTAGCTGTGAGTATCTGACCCTCAAACACAGTGAAGAAAGCAGGGAGAGAAGAAAATTTGTGCTTCCTCCTTTCCAGTCACTCCCCCCACCCCCACCCCTGTGGGACATCTGGAAAGTAAGGTTTCCCCCAAATCCTCCACATATCCCCCACAGTTTTCAATTCCTTTCCTTTTGATCCTGCCAACTAAGTCACTGTGACCACACATGGAAGGCGGGGAGAACCCAGACATTTCAACTTCTGCAGAAAAACTTCATTTTTTTCCTCTGAAGTAAAAAGAATGAAACTGAGGGAGGTAATGAAGGGCAGGAAGAGGGAGTAGGAGTGAGGAAGACAGAGCTAAGAAGAAACTGGGGAGGGAAAAGGCAAATGAGAGGATTCCTCCAGGGCACTTGGTCTTGGCCCAGCTGGGCTGTGAGTGGGCAGCCAGGCTGGCCCCTCCTTTGGTACTGCCAATACCAGCTGCCAGGCAGAAAGAAGGCCCAGAGGAGAGGGAAGCTGGGCAAAGGGGATGGCAGGCTTCCAGGCTGGCCTCATCCAACCCTGGAGCCTTGTGGGGGGGGGTGGGGGGAGGAGACTTCTTAGGGATGGGAACTATGACCCTGGCAGGACTCTAGGGAGGAGGTTTGCTGCTTGCGGCCAAGGCCTATAGGCAGATGTGAGGTTGGGGGTTCAAGATGACCCCTCCCTGGACCTTTCTGAAAGTAGGATCAGCCTAGGATATGACTGGGCTGGATGAACGCAGGGGCTGGGAAGTTTATGGATCATAGTCTGCTGATGAGGCCATGTGTCGCCTGTGTGACCATGGCTGGACTGACATCATTTCTTACCTGAAAAGGTTGGGATGGGGAGGGGACAGAAGGTTGAAACATGTGATTACAAAGGTGTTTCCTGGTCCTGCTTCACGGGAAAGTTCAGACGGTGGGAGTAATGGACAGAGGGAGGTGTGGAGTCTAGTGGTAGTGAGCTTTGCTTCTCTGGAATCCCCAGCCCTTTTCCTCTCTAAAGGTTTGACTCTGAGGTCACAAAAACTCAACCCACATAACACACACCCATACTTCTTAAATCTAGAGACTCAAAAGGTGACCCTCGCCCGAGCTGGAAGGCATCTCCAGCTAGTCCTTCTTTCCTTCCTCCCGTTTGTACAGACGACAAAACTGAGGCCCTGGTTTGGGATTTCCAGAGCCTGGGATTTCCCGGGGCCCCTCGGGGCTGCTCCAGTGCCACAGTCTCAGGACGGGACGCTCCAGCGAAGCCACAAGGGGAGGTCTGGCTGGGACTCCGGGGCGGGGCTGGGAGGGGGACCCCGCCGTCGGGGCAGCCCCCACGCCCGGCGCCGCCCAGCCTCTCTGCCTGCCCCGCCCGGCCCGGCCCGGCCCGGCCCCGCCGCCGCCGCCGCCGCTGCGCACTCGCCGGGGAGCCAGCGACCGAGGGCGGAGGCAGCGCGGGAGCGACAGGGGCTGGGAGGGGTGCTGGCGAGAGCTCGCGCGCTGTGTATGGTCTATCGGAGGCAGCTGACCTTTGAGGAGGAAATCGCTGCTCTCTTGCTCCTTCCTGTAGTAACAGCCGCCGCCGCTGCCACCGCTAGGAGCCCAGGCCGGGAGCTACAGCCGCGGGCGCAGAGCCGGCCCCGCCGCGGGACGCTTGGGCCCCACCAGGTGGGTGGCCGGCGGCGCGTCGCGGGAGGCGCGCGCGGGGTGGGACACGGGACTCCCGGCCCGGCCCTGCACTCGGCACCCTGGAGCCCGACAGCCGAGCGCCGGACAGGGTTCGGTCCCGGCTTCGATAAGGAGTTCGGTGCAGCGTGGAAGAGGGACGAAGGACGAGGGACCGAGATAAACGGGATGGCCAAGGGTGGGCGCTGTCCTGGAGCGCAGTGAAGAGGGGGCGCTGTCGGGCTGAAGCGGGAGGGGGAGACGCTGGAGCGCAGCCTAGAGAGCGCCAGAGAGGGGTACTCTATGTCCCCAACCCTCTCTCCTTGACAGCTCCAGTCACGTGCCCCAGGCAACCAGGCCGTCGAGTGGCGGTCGCTTAGTTGCCCTGACTTTGGGTTGTAATATCTCCCCTTCCTAGGAATTGAGAGTTGGGGTCGGAGGTGGGGCGGGGGATTCTTGCAGTCCTCTTCAGAGGAGACCTGCGGGGCTCTGCTGTCAAGTTTCTCTTTCATTTTCTTAGCTGCACACACACCCCTTCCCCCCTCTGGTCTGGGGAAGCCCCGATGGGGTAGGAGGAGAGGAAGAAGGGGAAGGCACCTGTCTGTCCAGATCCCCCCTCCAGCCCACCTCGGTCTCAGCAGGTTCCTTGTTAGAGGAGAAAAGAGGTCTTCCTCCTCCTCACCGTCTTTCTTCTTCCGGCACAAGAAAGCATGTCTGGGGCAGAGGAGGGGCCTAGATTGACCGTGGTCCTTGGTGGGCACAGCAGGGCAGGGGCAGACCTGCCTTGCAGCTTCCCTGCAGGAGACATCTCTTCGGTCCTTTGCTCTTCCTAGGTGAACAGCCATGGCGGGCTGGATTCAGGCCCAACAACTGCAGGGAGATGCCCTGCGCCAGATGCAAGTGCTATATGGGCAGCACTTCCCCATCGAGGTCAGACACTACCTGGCACAATGGATAGAGAGCCAGCCCTGGTAGGTGCCTCCTATCTTACACCTTCCACTGCTGGTCTTACGGTCAAGGTCTCTTGGCCTCTGGGTCTCCTTTTTGTGGTTCGATGTGACTCTGGTCCTATCTGTCCTTTGTGTGGAAGGGGTGGGGTCCCTGGGAAAGGGGAACAGGGAAATGGGAGCCTTGGAGGGGAGAGGGAACTTTTCTAAACTTTATTAATGCTTATCAGTGGCCAGGAGCAAGTCTTGTGTGCAGTGGACCAGCCTGGGATTTCCATGGCATTGTTTAAGGAGGTGCCACAGTAGGTTTATTTCCCCTGTCATGTCCCAAGGGATGCCATTGACCTGGACAATCCCCAAGACCGAGGCCAGGCCACGCAGCTCCTGGACGGCCTGGTACAGGAGCTGCAGAAGAAGGCGGAGCACCAGGTGGGGGAAGATGGGTTTCTGCGGAAGATCAAGCTGGGGCACTACGCCACGCAGCTCCAGGTGGGTGTGAACGCTGGCTATCTACAGGGCGGCAGTAATGCCTTCTCTTCCAGCATCAGACCCCTGGGTTTTTTGCTGGCTTGGCCACTGACTCACCATGTGACCATAAAAGCTTACTGGCAACTTTTTTTTAAATTTCCCCCACCTCTTCTTTCTAAGTCATACCTGTCACATTAGCATATTACAAACCAAGAGGTGGGAGGGAGTGTGTGGGGCATTTGTTCCCCAAAATGGGGGTTGGATAGGTGAACCTGTCTTATGGACAAATCAAGCAGGAGAGATGAGGTAGACTGAGTCAGAATTCCTTTGCTTGAGAAAGGAAAGGAAGTAGGTAACCAGACATCTCTCTTGGGACTCTTTTAAAGGTGGGAGAGCTGCTGAAGAGGGGGCAGAGCTTTCCTGGAGGCAAGAGCTTTGAATTAAGGGTTTAGAAATAAGATGTTGCCTCTCCTTTATAAGGAGGGGGAGTTTTGTGGAAGCAGGAAAGGGGTGTGGGTGGTAGTCATGGTCAAGCATTTATTGGAACTCACTTGTATTTCTTAGAGAATCCCTCTTAAATCCAAGCAACAGCATGCTAAGGAAATAAAAGTCCATCCTAGAAGAGGGAGGAAACAGGAGAAACCTGTGGGGAAACAAAATAAGAACCCAGGGGGAGGTGCATGGTAGAAAGTACCTTGACATTGGCATTGATACCCTGAGTCTTGAGTCATCTGCTCTCTCACTTATTTCCAGACAAATGCTTAGCTCTCCCAGCATCAGTGTTCTCATCCATGAAATGGGGATCACAGTTTCTGCTTATGTCATAGGGCTTCCATGCTGTGAGAGTCTAAATTGATGGTAGGTTGGAAGTGCTTTGTAAACCATGGGCTCCTACTTCACTGCAAACCAAGTAAAAAGATTTGGGAGAAGGGCAGCTAAAGAGAGATAAAGATGTTTGCTGATGGCTCCTGAGACTTCCTGGGAAAAGCTGAGACTGGCTGAAGGAGAGGAAGATGTAGACATGACATGGGGACTAGCATAACTGGTACAGGGTGGACACTAGTGGCTGATGTTGCGTTCTTTCAGAACACGTACGACCGCTGCCCCATGGAGCTGGTCCGCTGTATTCGACACATTCTGTACAATGAACAGCGGCTGGTCCGAGAAGCCAACAACGTGAGTGGCCCTGGTGTGGGGAGAAAAGCAAGGGGAGCCTGCCATATCCTTTCTTTCTGAACTGTGCTTTTGTAACACTGGCATGAGGAGAGCACCAAAGATATGCAAGAGGCAATAATATCATGTGCGGGTGTGAAGTGACCCCTAGGTTCAGTCCCTGGCTCTGTTAGCTGTGTGATTTGAGCAATAACATCTCTGAGCCTCTCTCTCTTTCTTCTTCTCTCTCTCTCTCTCTCTCTCTCTCTCTCTCTCTCTCTCTCCTCTCCTTCTCTCTTTCTCCTTCCCTCTTTTCCTCCCTTCCTTTCTTTCTTATTTATTTTAATTTTTTGGTGATGGTGCTGGGGTTCAAACCCAGAGTTTTATGCATGCTGGGCAAGCATTCTACCACTGAGCTACATACCCAGGGCCCTCTGTTTCTTCTGTTTTAAAATGGGTATAGTAATAGTAACTACTTGGTAGGGTTATGATGATGATTGAATGAAATACTGTGTGGGCCAAAGATGGACAAGCAGACCAAAGAAAGGACCAGAAAATCTTAAATCTGCCCCTACACACACACACATCTGTGTCAGAGATGCCATTACAAATCAGGGAAAATACCTGACATTCAATAAATGGGCTGTGGCCAAAATAAGAAGTGCACCATCCTGGTGTCTGTGAGGAGAAATGATCTGAGGTTTCTGTCAGAAGAATGAAGATAGGCAGGCTCAGGGCAGGAGAGGGAGCGGGGCCTGATCACCCAACTTTCGAAACCCTAAAAGCATTGAATACCTGCATGGACAGTGTAATGGTGCCAAAGCTGTATTATCTGCAATAATGCAAAGTGAATTTTGTAAACTGACATAGTGAAAGGCCTTAGAGTATTGATTTACTTACTTATTGTCATGGACACTGATTTCAGGAATTTTATTGTCCACTCAGTAAACATTTTTGGGGGTCCTTCCGTGTGTCTGAACTTGAGAAACATAAGGACCTGGTCCCCACCTAAAAGGGATCTAGCATGGACAGATTCTCTAAAAGTGAACTGAATGTGAAGGGAGTGAATATAGGGAAAGTTCTACCCCCACCGGCAGGAACTGAGGAAAGGGAGAGAGTTCTTTGGAAGGAAGAAGGGGGAGTTTTATAACCCAAAGTAACAGCAGCATATGTGAAGGCAGGGAGGTGCAAGTAGTCCATGTAGCTGGGGAGCATGGAGTCGATGAGAAGTCAAAATGGGTAAAGCTGGATAGGGGAGAGGAACCAGGTTACAGAGGGTCTTCCAGCACAGCCCCCGTGTCTCTGACTTGTTGCAATCACAGAGCTACTGTAAATGTAGGAAGGAATTTAGTTGGATTGAGAAGCGTTTATCTGTAGCCTCAGGAGAGTTGAACTGCTTGCCTCAGGAGAATTTGGTATCAGAATGTCCCAGACTGATGGAACAGCAAGAGCAAAAGCCCTGAGGCAGGCATATGTTTGTGCTTTCAAGGAACTGAGACAGAAAGCACAGTAGCTGGTATACTCTGACAGCAGGTGAGCTGGAATGGAGGCAAGACAGGGTTATTTGCTAGACCAGCTGAAGCTGTGAGAAGTTTAGATTTTACTCTGAAAACAGTTAGTTGGAAAGTCCCTGAACACCTGATCTCCTCTTGACCAGGTATTTTGAATGTGGAGATCCAAAGAGGACCTCTTAATATCTCCCCTATGACTTCATTTTGGGATCCTGAGGATGCCAAAATATGAGAGGTTTGCCCTGCCTCCTCTTCCTTCAGTCACAAGAAGGTCTTGAGTGAGGACATGGAGGATGTGTGTCTACAGCCCTGTCCCCGCCCCTGCCCGGTGTCCCCAGGGAACACCTAGCCCTGGGTCAGTGAGTAAATGTGGGATGAGGAGACATCATTATTAATAGGAAAACCCAGGTGACACCTGGAATGTGTTGAGTTCTAGTTTCTCAAAGGAAATTAAGTGGATCCTTTTTGGACTATTCTGCTGGAGGCCAGATCTGAGATGGAAATTTCTAGCCAGACTTAGTGGCACATGTCTATAATCCCAGTACTCAGGAGACTGAAGCAGGAAGATCATGAATTTAAGAACAGCCCGGACTACATAGCAAGACCCTATCTCAAACCAAACCAAACCAAAACCCCAGAAATAGAAATTTCTGCTATAAAGGTGCCATTATTACCAGGTCATCTGTTTCTCTTCTTTCTCCTTCCACTCCAGTTTTGCAAATGACTATTCTTCTGACTCAAGTGACCCTTGCTTCTTACCCAGATTTGGAGTTTGGGGTCTGTAGCATTGGCATCCCCTAAGACCCGAGGCTTTCTCCTCTTCTCTCTGCCTAGCTCACTGCTCCTTGTCACTTCCACTTAATCTGCCTCCAGTGCAGCTCACCTGCTGGCATGCTGGTTGACGCCATGTCCCAGAAGCACCTTCAGATCAACCAGACCTTTGAGGAGCTTCGACTGGTCACGCAGGACACAGAGAATGAGCTGAAGAAGCTGCAGCAAACCCAAGAGTACTTCATCATCCAGTACCAGGAGAGCCTGAGGATTCAAGGTGAGGCTGGTCAGTGGGAGATGTGTTTTTCTGGAGGATAGGATGAAGAACATCCTAGAGTTCCTGAAGGGTGGGGGCTGGGTCAGGGCCCATCTCTCCAGCACCTTCCCCAAAGCCTGGTAAGAGTCAAGGCCTGCAGTGACTTTGAGCCCCTGCCATGGGCTAGGCTCTGGACCAAGCTTGGGTACCTAATCCAATTCAGCCCTCACAACAAGCCTGTGGAGTAGACAGCTTGTTCATAGTTTCCAGATGGTGCAAGGGAGATTCAAGAGAACAAATGACTTGGGCTAGGTTGCCTGTAAGTTGTAGAACCAGATCTCAACTAAAGATATGTCATGAATCCCCATCTCTATGAATCCATATTCTCTCCTGAGTTGTAGGGACTCATGAAATCTGATTTGGAAAGGAGATGGGCAAATTGTTCCCTAACTAGAGGGAGAACTTGGAATAGGAGTCCCCTGGTAGAGACAGACTTGGTGGGGGGAGTGGAACTCCATCAGAGCTTCTACCTAAGCTTCACAGATGGGATGTGGGGGACGGGGTGGCAGTGGAAAACACTCCTATTTCCTAGGTTTGCAGTTTGCCAATGACTGCCATGATAACTGTGTGGGAAAAGAAGAATTAACTTGGAAGGCATTAGCCCCAAGTACATTTTGAGGTGTCATGTCATGCCCATTTTCCATCCACTCCAGCTTGACCCCAGAGATGTACCACCCCATCCTTGAGAACAGGAAGGCTCAAACTGCCTTTTCCCTTGCCCTTTCTAATTTCTTAAGGTAGAAACTTAGGTCATTGATTTTAGCTCTTTGTTTGTGTGTGTGTGCACACGTGTGTAGATACATTCATAATATGATATTTTTTTCTTTTTGGTGATAGTGGGGTGTGAACTCAGGGCCCCGTGCTGGCTAGGCAGGTGCTCTACCACTTGAGACATACCACCAGCCCAGTATACGATATGTATGGAAAGTTAGGCCAGCAGAAACTGTAGGATGGAGTTTGAACTTTATTTTCTCTCTCTCTCTCTTTATTTGTTTCAAAGATATAAATTTTCCTCTAAACACTGCTTTAGCTGCATCCCATAATTTTGGATATACATGTATTTATACATTCTCTTTGAAATATTTCTAATTACTCTTGTGATTCTATGTGTGTGTGTGTGTGTAGTGGTGGTACTGGGGTTTGAACTCAGGGCTTTGAGCTTCTTGTGATTAATTCTCTTACCTATATGACTTTTAGAAGTATATTACTTAATTTCTACTATTCATTATTTTCTTGAAGTTATACTGTTACAGTTTCCAGATTGTGTTGTTGTTGAACTCCATTGTGATTAGAGAACCTGCTCTGTTTGGGTCTCTGTCCTTATAAATTGATGGAGACTTTTTTGTGACCCAGTATATGCTCTACCTTAGCAAATGCATCTTGTGTAGTTGAAGAGAATGTATGTTTTACGGTTGTGACTTTCAAAAATAGCAATGATAAATTTAAAAATGTTAACATAAAAGGTAAAGTTTTATAAAAACCAAACACAACATCTGTCTCTTCAAAACCAAAATTTAGTGAGGAGAATGAATTTCTATTCCTACAGTCACATGCTATATGATGATGTTTGCATCAACAATGGACCATTTATACAAAGTCATATACCACATAGCCTACATTTGTATTAGGCTATTCCATCTGGTTTGTGAAGTACACTCCAATGTTCACACAATGACAAAATTGCTTACTGACCACTTTCTCAGAGTTATCCCCATCCTTAGGCAACATGTGACTGTATTTGCAAATCTCTTCAGTGTTAGGCTTAAAAGATAGTGTGCTGTGCTTTCAATCTGTGTTAATATCTTCTGTCCTCTGGAAGGTTCTACTATGTACCTGTTAGATATTAAGAGTGTTTGTGGTGCCACATACCCACAACCCCAGCACTCAGATGGCTGAGGCAGGAGAATCAAGAATTCAAGGCCAGCTTGGACTAGGTAATAAGAATCTGTCTCAAAAAAAAAAAAAAAAGAAGTAAATAAGGTTTTATAAACTTATGAAAAAAATTATTGTTTTCACTTTGTGGACCCTCTTCAAGGGTCTCAGGAACCTTCCAGAGATTTCCTGGACTACACTTTGAGAATCACTGATCTTGGTCCTTATTGATTTTTTTTCCTTTTTTTGCCTAATTGTTTTGTTAGTTGCTGAAAGAGAGGTATTAAAAACTCTATCATAGGCCAGGTGCCAGTGGCTCACATCTGTAATCTAACTACTCAGGAGGCAGAGATCAGGAGGATCGTGGTTTGAAGCCAGCCTGGACAAATAGCTCTCAAGACCCTATCTCAAAAAACCCTTCACAAAAAAGGGCTGGTGGAGTGGCTCAAGGTGTAGGCCCTGAGATCAAAGCCCAGTACTTAAAAAAAAAAAGAAACTGTCATGATGATGAAATTGTCTACATTTTCCAATTCAAAAAATTTGTAAATGTTTTGAAACTGTTAATTAGATATAGGCATATTTATGGTTACTCTAACTTTCTGATCAGTTGACATAATCAATCTGAAATGTCTTTCTTAATCTCTGGTAAGACTCTTTTCTTGAAGTTCTCTTCATTGGATATTAATATAACCATTCCAACTTTCTTATTCCACATATCCCATACCGTAACTTGACCTATGTTAGTTTTATTTATTTTTTGGTTTATTTATTCATATGTGCATACATTGTTTGGGCCATCTCTCCCCCTTGCCCCCTGCTTCCTTCTTCTCCCCCCACCTCGCTATGTTAGTTTTAATTTATAATGTGGACTGCATAGTGTTGAGTTTTGCTTTTTATTTATCCTAATAATCTCTGCATTTAACTGAAACGTTTCTCTACTAACATTTAATGTAATAATTAATACATTTTAACAGAGGGCTGATATTTTAATATTTATTTTCTGCTGTGTCATTTTCAGTTTTGGTTCCCCTATTCCTTCCTTTTTGCCTTTTTCACATTTAAATTTTTCTAGAATTCCATTTTAATTTAAGCTTTATTCATACCCTAATCAGTGCATTCTGTCACCCAACATAATGCAATGACTGACACATCATTAATGTTGAATAAATGTTTGAGGATGATTCTAGCATCTTCCATCTGAATCCGTCCCAGATGGACCCAGAAAAAGAACAGCTCTTCCTGTAGGGGAGGAGCAGATTTTAGCTATGATTTCTGCATAAGGCCCTGGGTTCCAGCCCCAGTACTAAAACAAAACAAAACAAAACACAACACAGACTGTTAATCTAAGCCAATCCCTCAGATCCCCCTGGCCTCCTTCCCAGAAGCACCTGCAGATGGCTTCTGGGAAGTCCCACTAAAGTGGGATCACCAACTCTCCCTGTGGGCCTGCAGGATTCCCAGGGGAGGACCCGGCAGAATGCCCTGCTGTATTCTGAGCCTGGACGGTACTCTTGCCGCTCAGTGTCCTGCAGTGAGATATGAGCTGTATTTCTGAGTTCTAGCTCTGGGCTTTTCCTGGCTGTCTAGCATTGCTTTTGTCCGCTCAGCTTCTTGTTCACTAGGGCAAGGACGGGGTCAGTGTGACATGGCACTCAGAGGCCAGCCAGGAACTCAGCCCACACGTGCCATGCACACGTTGTCTTGACTTAGCTGAGCGAGGGTGCTGCGCTGTTCAGAGGGTTGTTGGAAGGGCGTGAGAATCCTGGTGCTCAGGACACTTTTATCTGGGGGAGGAAGAATTTGGAAGCAGGGGAGGGTGGACAGTTGGCTGTAACTAGAAATGTTTGACTTCTAAGTTGGGTCTTTGATGCCCAGTGTTTCTTGTATCCTTTCTTCCTAAGAGCTGGTGTGGGAGAAGCCACATCCCCACCCCCAGCCTTAAGGGAACCAACTGTATTGTGTGCCCAGGAGCCCTTCGACACACTCTCTGCCTTCTGTCTCTCTCTCCATCCCCCGATCACAGTGTCAGGCACCTTCCAGATCCAACAAAATTCACTCTATGCTCTGTGCTTAGGGGAGGAGAGAAAGCAGGTGGAGCAGGGGCCTCCCAGCTCCCCATGTGAGGGATGGAGCTGAGCAGCTGCTTGTCTGTCACCATTTCATTTCCATTCTATCACCTACCAACCAGTAAGGATGAATCTACATAAAATCTACTTACATGTGCCAGGCAGTTCCTTGAGCATTTTCTGTATTACCATTTATTCAACCTCTATAGTAACCCACTGAGCAGGTGCCAGGATTCTCTCATTTTACATGTGGGGAAACTGAGGCACCAGAAAGACAGTGATTTGCCTGAGTTCACCCAGCTAGTGAACTCAGCACACTTGTACCTGGACAGTCTGGACTCAAGTCTGAGCAGGAGGGCCAGGCCTCTGGCTGTGTGGGTCAGGTGAAAGAGGCCAGGTTAGGATCCTCCTCAGCCTCACTTCTGAACACCTGCTCCCACCACTGACAGGGGAGGCTCAGTCAGGAGGCCAGCAAGCAGAACATTCGGACTGAGCATTCTGACTGAGCCCCTTCATCTTTGGGTGCTGTGACTGGTAGGAACCCCAACTTGCTATATTGATGGGTGACCAACCCTGAGGGTCTCACTCCAGAACAGGTAGGTGCACATTCTCAGGCTTTCTGCTGGATGCAGGAAGATGACAGTGGTCGGTGTCCTCTCCCCTCCTCTAGCTCAGTTTGCCCAGCTGGCCCAGCTGAACCCCCAGGAGCGCCTGAGCCGGGAGACAGCCCTGCAGCAGAAGCAGGTGTCCCTGGAGGCCTGGCTGCAACGTGAGGCACAGACTCTGCAGCAGTACCGTGTGGTGAGTGGATCCTGTGGCCCTGTGCTCCCACAGGGAGCCCCATGGCCTGCATGTCTGAGGACCAGAAAGAGAAACAGAGGCAGCACCCGGGAGAACAGGAGGCATGCCCAACTCTCCTGGGGTGCCCGTGAGGCAGAGCAGGTGGGAGAGGAAGGAGCTGCCTGGACCTGGGCTGCTCCCTGGGCTCTAGGCAAGGTCCGCGGGGTTGTTCTCTGGGAGCCCAGCAGTTCCTCGGTCCCTTCCCACAGGAACTGGCCGAGAAGCACCAGAAGACCCTGCAGCTGCTGCGGAAGCAGCAGACCATCATCCTGGATGATGAGCTGATCCAATGGAAGCGACGGCAGCAGCTGGCTGGGAATGGGGGCCCCCCCGAGGGCAGCCTGGACGTGCTGCAGTCCTGGTAAGGGGGCGCCCAGTGGGTGGGGTCTCAGGTGGTGGTGCCAGCTGCCTCTTCTGCTCCCGTGATGGCCTAAGTAGCAGGCTCCCGCTCTCTGTGACCACTCTCATCTAACCAGTGTCCTGTTCCTGGACATTGTCACCTTCCCCCAGGGATGAAGTTGTGTTGGGGAATGGGGCAGGCTCAGGTGTGCGGGGTCAATCCTGAGCCATTCCTCCTGTGTGTCCTCTACTTCTGGAGACAAGAGCTCTGCACTGACCCTGTGGATAGGACACTGGCAAAAGGGTTCACCTTCCTGGGTGGGCGTTGCTGCTAGGGTGGAGCTGTGCTATGGGGTCTCCCACATCTGGCCTGGATTAGGAGAGAAACCATTGTCCCCATGTGGGCGTTGGGCATCTTGCAGGTGTGAGAAGCTGGCTGAGATCATCTGGCAGAACCGGCAGCAGATCCGCAGGGCTGAGCACCTCTGCCAGCAGCTGCCCATCCCTGGCCCTGTGGAGGAGATGCTGGCTGAGGTCAATGCCACCATCACAGACATCATCTCAGCCCTGGTGACCAGGTGACTGCTGCCTCTCAGCCAGGCTCAGCAGGGCAGAAAGGCTTCTGTGGGTGGGCATGTGGGAGGCCCAGGTTCCATGCAGACCAGGAGCTCCCTTAAGTCCTGCCCTGTGCCCCACACCCTGCCACTGCATCTCCAGTTGCTCTGGCTACTTGGGGCTGCCTTGACCCAGTGTCTGATGGAGACACTGCAGATGTCCTTGTACCCAGCCTCCCTCCTACCCTCTTCCCCGAGTGTCAGTGGCCTCCCCAGGAACAGAGGCTAGGCCATGGTCTTCCTTGAGCCCTGTGGGAAGAGCTTCCCTCCCAATCGGTCCCACAACCCTTTCCCTGGAGCCAGCATCTGGTCATCTGTCTGGTCACTTGTGTCCCCTGCAGCACCTTCATCATCGAGAAGCAGCCCCCTCAGGTCCTGAAGACCCAGACCAAGTTCGCAGCCACCGTGCGCCTGCTGGTGGGAGGGAAGCTGAATGTGCACATGAACCCACCCCAGGTGAAGGCGACCATCATCAGTGAGCAGCAGGCCAAGTCCCTGCTCAAGAACGAGAACACCCGCAAGTAAGTGTGCCTCCCTCCATCTGGGGTCGGGCACTGTGTGCACTGGGGGGAGAGCAGAGTCAGCACTGCTTCTCCATCTTTTTTTTTTTTTTTTGTGGTACTGAGGTTTGAACTCAGGGCCTTGTACTTGCTAGGCAGGAGCTCTATCCCCTCTCTGGCCCTGCCCATGCCCAGCACATAGTAGGTCAACAACTACTGTTTTGCCATGGGGACTCAACTTGATCCAAATAGAACTTGATTCTCTCACCCCTCCTGTTGACTAGCAGGACAGGCTACAGCCACTGAGAAGTGATTTACTGATACAGCTTGTAACCAGGGTTATGGAAGGGTATCATGGAAGGAAGTGTTCCAAGTGATGAAGAATTGACAATTGGTTTCAGGTCAGCAGCTGGACAGGAGGTTGCTAGTGACATGGCTGGAATGGGGAAGGCTTTTTCAGGCAGAGAGCCAGTGCTGTGTTCTGAAGGAACAATGTAGAGAAGGCACATGTGGCCCGCAAACCCAGGGGGTCAGGGAAGGCCCCCCACCAAGTGTGTGGCAGATGCAAAGAGTGAATGAGTGATGTGGGAGGCTTGGTCCCAACCTTAATGCCCAATTAAAAATGTTTCCTGCCAGGCACTGGTGACTCACGCCTGTAATCCTAGCTACTCAGGAGGCAGAGATCAGGAGGATTGCCATTAGAAGCCAACTTGGGCAAACAGTTTGTGAGATCCTATCAAGAAAAACCCTTAACAAAAAGAGCTGATGGAGTGACACAAGGTGTAGGTAGACGAGTGACGTGGATTTGAAGGCACGAATGCTGTTCTCACTCTCTGGGAGCTCTCTGGTTAGCAGGGGAGTCAGAAAGCAATACATTTAAAAAAAAATTAAGATGTCCATAATGACAGCTATTCTGGAGGCAGAGATTGGGAGAAATTAGTTCTAAGCCATTCTGGGTAAAAAATTTTTATCAAAACTCCCATCTCAATCAGTAAATTGGGCTTGATGGTGCACACCCATCATTTCAGCTACTTAGGAGAAATAAATAGAAGGATCGAAGTCCAAGGCTGGCCCCAGGCATAAATTCAAGACTGTATTCAAAAAAATACCCAAGGCAAAAAGGGCTGGAGGAGTAGCTCAAGTGGTAGAGTACTTGCCAAGCAAGCATAAGACCCTGAGTTCAAATCCCAGAGTCACACAACTAAATTAAATAAATAATAAACAAATGGAGTTTCCCAAAATGATACACTTTAGAGAGAAAAATGAAAACTGACATAGCATCTGAATGTGTGTTGGGGTGGAGGAGGGTGATAAACAACAGGAGGTTGAAGATGGCCTTTCTGAGGAGACATATGAGCTGAGACCTGAATGAGGAGACAGTTGGGAGTGTCTGGGAAGGCAGTAAGAACAAGCACCAAAGTCCTGAGGTGGGCACTAAGCTTGGCTTGTTTAGCAGTTGAGACCAGCATGAGTGAGGGAAGGGGAACTGAATGAGGCCAGGGAGCAGGGTAGGGGTTGATCATGGGGTCCTTGTAGGCTATTTTATGCTAAGTGCATTAGAAGCTACCAGAGGTCCTGAAGTCCCTACTGTAATCTCAGTGCACAAGGAATTCCTAACCTAAAGCTAGAGACCCGCCCCTCATTCTTGGAGACCTTACCTTGGGGCCTCTCTGGTTGATGGAGAAAACAGAAACCCAGAGAGACACTGAAGGAATCTTCTTAGGGGATGAGGGACCAGGGCTGCCACAGGGCTAACCAGAGTGAAGTCCCCAGCCCAAGGACAGGACAGGACCTCACTCCTCACCTGGGGCCTAAGTGGAGCTGGGGCTCCCCTCTCCCTTGCAGCGAGTGCAGTGGTGAGATCTTGAACAACTGCTGCGTCATGGAGTACCACCAGGGCACAAGCACCCTTAGTGCCCACTTCAGAAACATGGTGAGCACAGGGCCCAGCCTCGGAGGGAAGGTCTGCCGGGGACTGAGTCCTGGTAACCATCCACATTCTCCCTGTCCCCCTCTGGCCTCCTGCCCTACAGTCACTGAAGAGGATCAAGCGTGCTGACCGACGGGGTGCAGAATCTGTGACAGAGGAGAAGTTCACAGTCCTGTTTGAGTCTCAATTCAGTGTTGGCAGCAATGAGCTTGTGTTCCAGGTGAAGGTGAGGCTCCAGCACCTCCATCCCTGGGGTCAGTCAGAGGGGGGAAGGGATCAGCCCAGGTTGGGAAAGATGACTCTTCCCAAGCTCAGCCCAGATACCCGCCCCGCAACCATGCTATCCCAAAACCTATTTTAACTCTGTGGGCATCTGTCTGCTGTGTTGTTACCCACTGCTGTAGGCAATGGACTAGTGGGTTTTTTTGGTTTGTTTCTGCTCAGGATTATTGAGAAGGATTTGTGATTGGGATGGTGGTTGAGGAATTAGGGTTAGGAGTCATCCCTAAGTAGAAGGAAAAGTGGTGTTTATAACCCCTCAACTCTAATTCCTTTGACTTCTATAGACTCTGTCCCTACCCGTGGTTGTCATCGTTCATGGCAGCCAGGACCACAATGCCACCGCCACTGTGCTATGGGACAATGCCTTTGCTGAGCCGGTGAGTCCCTTTGGGATCTGTACCTTGGCTTCCAACACCATAGGACTCTCTTTAGGGTCAACCCCAACTCCTTGGTCCCTGCTTAGTGGCCTTTCCACACCCCAGGAACAGAGCAGAGCAGTACTGAGGGGCAGCTGATGGTGAGTACCCCTGTCCTCAGGCCTGTCCTTGGGCCTGTCCTGGAGCCCTGTCTAGATTCAAGGATTCTGAATAGGGCTCTCTGAGGTGTGTTAACCTCGTCTTTGGGCCCTGGTCTCCACTCTTCCTTTGCCTTACAGTTGGAGTCCCTGATTTCTGTCCTAGTCTCCTAGTCTGTGTCTCCATCCCTGCTGGCCCATACTGCCTTTTCTTTCCCCCTGTTTGTGTCTCCTTTCTAGATGGTTCCCAGTCTCTGCATAGCTTATGTGTATTTATGGGTGTGTGTGGTGTGTGTGTGTAAACATTTCCACCTCCCTTAATTTACCTTTTCTCCCCCTTTCTTCTCTCCCTCTCAGGGCAGGGTGCCATTTGCCGTGCCTGACAAAGTGCTGTGGCCACAGCTGTGTGAAGCACTCAACATGAAATTCAAGGCCGAAGTGCAGAGCACCCGGGGCCTGACCAAAGAGAACCTTGTGTTCCTGGCGCAGAAACTATTTAACAGCAATAGCACCCACCTTGAGGACTATAGCACCATGTCTGTGTCCTGGTCCCAGTTCAACAGGGTGAGCAACCCAGCTGCCAGCTGCCTGCCTACAACCACCAGGGACCTGTCACATCACCCTCACCTTACATACAGGCTTCTGCCAAGACTGGCATCCCACTGTCCACCCCCAATCACTCTCTCCTACAATCAGGAGAGATGGGGGCTCAGACCCCAAGAAATGTAGGCAGGAGCCACAAGCAGGGTGCTGGAGGCCAATCCTAGATCCAGCAGGCCCCTTCTGCTCTCTGTGCCTCACCTTCCCTATCTGTCAATGAGGGGATAGGATGGAAATGATGCTAGAGGTCCTGTTCAGCCTGAACAACTTTTTACAGCTCCCACGCCCACCCATGGGATTGCCCTGGACCCATGTGTTTAGAAGCAGGGGTCAAGGGCACTCTGGTTCCCTAGGACCAGTAGGGGGCTGTGTCAGTTTATGAACTGCTAAAGGGGCAGGGAAGGTGGAGGGAATTGGGAGCAGGTCTGGTGGGGACAAGAGGGCACCCACTCCTGGGCTGCCTGTGACTCCTGGCTCGGGTATCTGGGGCTCTAGGAGAACTTGCCGGGCTGGAACTACACCTTCTGGCAGTGGTTTGATGGGGTGATGGAGGTGCTAAAGAAGCACCACAAGCCACACTGGAATGACGGGTGAGGAGCAGTGCCTTGGGGTTAGGAGGCCATGGAGGGCTCAGGGGACAGTGCCCACCAGCCCAGCAGTGACATCAAATGTTCCACACACCTAGGGCCATCCTAGGTTTTGTGAATAAGCAACAAGCCCATGACCTGCTCATCAACAAGCCAGACGGGACCTTCCTGTTGCGTTTTAGTGATTCAGAAATTGGAGGCATCACCATTGCCTGGAAGTTCGACTCTCGTGAGTGCCCATTTTGTCCACAAGGGCCCTGTTTCCTTGCTCCCACTTTCCTTTAGGCCTGCATCCTTAAAAGGTACCTGCTGTGAAAGGCAAGAGCTGTGCTCAGAGTGTAGCTCTGAACTGTAGCCCCATCCTCTCATTTTTCACCTCAGAGAATCTGAAATCACCGGCCCCACAGACTGCAGAAACCCCCGGGCGACTCCCCTACACCTTCTGCCTTGTTGGTGTCTCCTTGCCCAGCACCCGCTTTCCGGCACCTAGAAGCACAGGAGGAGGGCTTGCAGTGCAGGCTAGGAAAAGCCCCGATTTCTCAGCAGCCTTCCTTAAAACCCACAACCATGACCCTCCTCCTGCGGCTTGTGGGAATGAGTTGTACCTTTCACAGCGGACCGCAATCTGTGGAACCTGAAGCCATTCACCACACGGGATTTCTCCATCAGGTCCCTGGCTGACCGGCTGGGTGACCTGAGCTATCTCATCTATGTGTTTCCTGACCGCCCCAAGGATGAGGTCTTCTCTAAGTACTACACTCCTGTGCTCGGTGGGTCCTGCTGCCCGGCCACAGACCTTCCCTCCCCCGAGACCGGGGGCTGGGCTGGGAGGGCTCCCCAGCAAGGGCCCAGGGGCTTTTTCCTGTCCGGGTTTTCATCCACGGGATGGAGATAAGTATTTCAGGGCTCACACCTGAGCAGAGGGAAAGTGAAACCCATCGCAGCTTTCTTCTCTGTGGAGCCAAAGACTCTGCACTCATGGGGGAGGAGCTCGAATAATTCCCACCCACAGATAAAACTCCCCCTTCTTAATCAGACATTCTCACCACACCCCACACCTCAGCCTGCCACCAACTTGAGTGTAGGAGCAAAATGGCAGATTTTTCCTTTCACCTGTCACAGTTCACGGTGGAGTTTGCTTCTTCTCCATGCTGTTTCCTTGGCAGAGGTGGGGGCTGGGAGAGGGGAAGCAAATGGCCCAAAAAGGAACCAGAAGAGGCATAGGACTGAAGCCATCCTTAGGAGTCCATTGGAAACCTCATCCATGAGATGATCCCAGGGTGATGTGAGCAGGAACCAAATGGCATGGGTTGGGCTTTCACTTCCCTTGGAGCTCCCAGACTTTTGTTCTCACCACTTTTTCCCTTTGGCAGCTAAAGCAGTGGATGGATATGTGAAGCCACAGATCAAACAAGTGGTCCCTGAGTAAGTGTCCAGGGCCCAGTTCTGGGTTTTCTGACACCCCCTTTTTTCCCCCTCTTGCACTGCCCCCAACATCAGACACTCCTCCCTGCTAAGCCCAGCATTCCTGATCCCCTAGGAAACTTGACTCAGCCCTTGGGAGGCACACAGTCTTGGTCACACTGTGGCCAGCACCCAGGACCCCATGCCTGCAGCCAGAGCCCCAGGGCCAACTGGGGCACCTTGTCCTTCTGTACTCTGAAAAGCCTTCTATACCCTGTCAAGATAGCCCAGAGCCCCAAGTCAGTGCCACCAGCCTCCGTGGCAATAAGGCTCTCCTGTGCTTCCTCCTGCAGGTTCGTGAACGTGTCTGCAGATGCTGGGGCTGGCGCCACATACATGGACCAGGCCCCCTCCCCAGCTGTGTGTCCCCAGGCCCATTACAACATGTACCCGCAGAAGTAGGTCATCTTTTGGGGGAGGTCCATGGGGAAGAGCTGGGACTTGGCCTCAGGCTGGACCCCTGGGGGACTGATGGGTAAAGGAACCCAGGGGTCCTGGGGCTCTGAAACAACCCAGCTAGGTCTGGGGACTGGCCCAGCCCAGATGAGGGAGGGTGAGGTCAACAGGGCAATGCATTTGAAGCTGGACATACCAAGGTCCCATCCTTGGTCTGGTACTGCCTAGCTGTGTGACCTTGAGAAAATTATTGAACTTCTCTGATGCTCAGGGTCCTTATATGAAAAATAGGAGCAAGCTGAGCACTGGTGGCTCATGCCTGTAATCCCAGCTACTCAGGAGGCAGAGATCAGGAGGATCGTGGCTAGAAGCCAGCCCAGGCAAACAGCTTGTGAGACACTATCTCAAAAAAACCCTTCACAAAAAAGGGCTGGTGGAGTGGCTCGAGGTGTAGGCCCTGAGTTCAAACCCCAGTACCACAAAACAAACAAACAAACAAACAAACAAAATGGGGGCAAAAACACTGACCTCCTGGAGTTGACATGAGGATTAAATGAGACAATGACAATAAAGCTTTGTCAGAAGGGCCTGACACAGGGTAGCTATTAACAGCATGGTTGTAAGGTGGGAGCAGGGTGGGGAATTAATTCTCTTCTGAGTTGTGGGTGGCTTGGCTGGATGACTGGGGGTCTGGGAGGCAGCAAGCTGCAGCAGGACCCCCACATTGTAGGAGTCCCAAAGACCCAGGTTCTAATCCTAGCTGTAAGTATCCAAGAGCAAGTTTCCTAACATGCTGAGCCTTGGTTTCCTCCTCTATAGAATGGAGTCATACCCAGCTTAAGGTGGCTGTGAGGACTGGAGTAAGGTGGTAAAAGTTGTTGTTGTAGGGGTGTGAATGGTGGGGTGCCTACCTGTAACTGAATAGCCTCCCAGGTGGGTATAGAGCTGGTTGGCCCAACTGCCTCATCCTACAGATAAGCAAGAGGAGAGGGGAAACAGACTCTCTGAGATCATTCTATAAGGTAGCAAGAGATGAGAGAAGTTTGGATATCTCCCACTTCTCCCAGCCAGAGGCTGCCTGCTACCCAGTTGGCAGGTGGAGGGGATCCAGTCAGAATTGGTCCTGTTTTCATAAGACTCTGGTTTGAGTGGGGAGCAGGCTGGGGGGCTCTCCCTGGGAGCTGGGGAGACATACTAGCTCCCCTGACATCCCTCTCTTTTACCAGCCCCGACCCTGTCCTGGACCAGGATGGAGAATTCGACCTGGATGAGACCATGGATGTCGCTCGGCATGTGGAGGAACTCTTACGCCGGCCCATGGGCAGTCTTGACCCTCACCACTCCCCCCCTGCTGGTCTCTTCACCTCTGCCAGAGGCTCCCTATCCTGAATGTCACACTCCAGGCTTGTCTTTGGAAATAAGCTGCAATGGGAGAAGTCCACATCAATTGTGATTGTAGTATTGCTGTACATACTGATGTGTTTGCAGGTAGCACTTGTACGTAAGTGTGCGTGCGTGTATGTGTGTGTATGCTTAGCACAAGGCGTGCTTGTCTTGCCTTCACAGTCCTAGGTATGTAGCTACAGCAGTGGTGGCCTTTTTGTTCAGATCGAGGCCTCCAGGAGTCCATTGAGTCCATCTGTCCTGAAAGAGATGGGGCTTCTGTCACCGCAAGCAAATCTGTTCCTCCCATGTCCTTTATCTGCTCAGTGGCAATTTAAGTGAAATTATTCCAGAAGGGGAAGGGAGACAGGTAAAGGTTCCAGGTTGAAGTTTTCCTCTTGAGCTAGAAGCATCATCCTCCCGCTATACACACACGTGTTGGGTGAGCATCTGTCCTGATGTACACGTGGTGGCCTAATTGATGCTTTTCCAATGGAGGCAGGCTGGGCTTCATTCTTAATATGTTATACTTTAGTAGATGCAGGCTCCAGACTTTTTTTGTGACCCCTTCAGAGCATGTCTAGGTCACAGGCATTAGCAGAGTACAGCTGGGTTCAATCAGGGCTGGCCGAGCTTCTCTGAGTATTTAGTTTCTTGGCCTCATGTCCTTGAGCCATGGCTTCAAGTCTCTGCCCAAGCTCACCTCCATCCTTTCTTATACTTGTTTTTTTTGTTTGTCTGTCTGTTTGGTGGCATGGGGTTTGAACTCAGGGCTTCACGCCTGCTAGGCAGGCTCTCTTACCACTTGAGCCACTCCACCAGCCTTAACTTCATCCTTTCTTTTGATCTGATATCTCCTCCCTTCCATCCTGCCCTAACCACCCCCCACCCCCGACCTTCTTTTTTCTTTCTGACAGTCTCACTTTGTAGTTCTAGCTGGCCTCAAACTCATGATCCTTCTGCCTCTGCACCCCAACTGCTGGGATTATAGGTATGCACTACCATGCCTGGCTCTAGCCTTCTTTTCTTGTCTCTGTTTGCAACCTTGTTTGCCATACAGAAGGAAAAGACTGGTCTAGAACATGGTGGGTGGTGACTTGCAAGGTTGATGTTCTCCCTTCGGAAAACAAAGCAAACAAAAAACTACTGCAAGACAAGCAGCAAAGCAGCCACTTGCTACAGGTTGTGAGGGGTAGAAGTTGATCTCATTCTGCCCTGCTGGGCGGTGGAACCTGGAGCTGGTCTCACGCTATTGCATAATAAGCTGTGGTCAGGGAAGGCCTCGCTCCAACCTCACCCCCTCCTCCCTCTGAGGCTATGAGACATGCAGCCAGAGGCAGCTGACCACAGAAGATTGGGAGTCCCAGGTTTCAATATCTCTTAAGGGACGTGGGGATAAGAAGAGGGATTCTTTTGTACTTTGTATATAGGCACACATTTGTGTAAACAGTGTTTTTGAATAAAGCATTTTTTCATAAATTTGCTGATCTTTCTCTGGTTTGAGGAGTTGGTGGTAGTCTTCCTGGATGATAGGGATCACTAAAGCTGGATTTGTTTGTGTGGCTCATGTTGGAAGTTTTAGCCAGAAGCTACAACTGTTCTGTGGTGTGAGGGCGCTGGTCGAACTGGAATACAGTCAGTGCTTCTCAGAAGGCTGAAGAGCTAGGTGAGGGGGGGTGCACACACTCATGAAAGCAGGGGATCAGGGGATCCAGTTCTTGGGGAAAGATGGGGCAGAAATGACTGGGGGATGGGCCCAACAGTGGGCAGAGCTGTGGTCCAGGCCTCTCATCAGTCTGGAAGCTGGCAGCTGAGGGCCAATGCCAAAGTGAAAGTCAACGTTCCTGGGGCCCAGTGCAGTGGAGAGTGGAGAGAACAGCCCATTTTCCCCGGGCCTCTTCCCAGAGACCAGCAGGTGGCACCATCCAACTGCAGTGGTGGCCTAGACTGTGAGAAAGGTTGGCCAGGGCAGAGAGGACCAGCTTTCCTCAAATGGACCCAAGGTGCCCAGCTGCTTGTCCAGGGCCTGGGGTTGGGGCCTTGTGCTCAGGGACATATACTCCCTTGGGTGGGGGGGTTGAGGAGCAAGGAACTGCGGGCAGGCTGGCAGGTTTCTTTAATGCAAAGCAATGTGTGTGTGGGGAGGGGGGCCGGGGCTTACAGTCTGCCCCAGGGAGGCTCAGGGGCCCAGAGTGAGCAGAATGAGCTGCGGGGGTGGCGGGAGGGAAAGCAGGCGCCTGCTGCTGTGGCCCGGGCCCCAGCACTAATCTCTGCTTCCATCTCTGCAGGGGAAGTGCCGGTATCTCTCTCTCACCGGCTTGGTCTCCATGGCACTGAGCCCTGTGAGTGGAGGGGGCGGGGAGATGTGAGAGGGCAGCCTTTCCCTGATATATCACCACTGGTTGCCCAGGGGCCCCCACGACAACCAGCCAGTGAAGTGTCTGCAAGTTGTCCCCACTTAGTGAACTGAAAAGAAAGTGATAATGGGCCAACTGTAGAATGGGAGGCCTGGGGAGGGGGTCTACACCCCAACCCCCCTTTAGGTAGCTTATCTGACCCCAGACAGGATACAGCAGCTCTGGAGGGAGGCGGGAAGAGGGAGAAGAAAGTAGGCCACTCTGACACCTTTCTGCCACTAGACTATGACCACTTGTTCCTCAGTCCCCTTATCTGGAGGCTGGTGGCAGACAAAAGATGGGGACCTGCATCACCTCAGGAATGAGGCAAAGGGAACTCAGTGACAGGGCTGAGCAACCACCTCCTATCCCAGCTGGCCTGTGTGGAAGACCCCCTCAGAATGTAAGCAGGGCAAAGAGAGCCTCTGCCAGCAGACAGAGCTGCTACACTATCAGTTCCTGTATAACTTTTATTTCTAGAAGTTAAAGTAGATACAGCAATATACAATAAAAAAAAACACAAACCCACAATAATATAAATTTTTACACTAGGAAGTATACATTGGAATTTGAGTGCAGTGGCCAGGACAGCAGTTTACAAACCACTGTATAGGGAGGCAAAGCGATCCGCAGGAGTCCTTGGGCTGGGCTGGGCTGGGGACAGACAGGAGGCAGTGGAGAGAGAGCAGGCAGGTCCTGAGGACTCTCTTCTTTAAGGGAGAGGCCAGAACAAGTTTCTCTCCTCTCAGAACTTTCGATACAATCAGTTAAACCCAGCTACGCATGCTACCTAAAGTCATGAATTTTACAGTTCTTGCTCCAGAGAAGCCCAAGCCCCTGCTCTGGGTTACCTAGAGTTTAAACCCAATGGTAAGCCCAAGTCTCAGCTTTCTAAATATTCTTTCAGTTTATGAGTTCAGCTTATTGTATACTAAAGAGCGTTGCTGGGGAAGGGAGAGTTCCATACTCTAAATAACTGTCTTGTGGCAGGAGGACAGTGGTGGCCAAGGCAAGCCCTGTTTATCTCAGATTGAAGGTCCTCACTCCCCTTTAGTCAAACTCTAGCTAATTTGGGTCAAACAGAATTCCACAGACACGTTAATCAACTGAGGTCAGGTGGTTTTGAGTCACCAAATCCAACCATGCCTCTGGGTCAGAGGAGGCTCACCTGCCTCTGCCAAGTGTTCCAAATGTACTGCTGAGGCAAGCTGACTGACTGAGGCAGCAGGATGACATGAAGGCCACAGCAGGTGTGCGCCCTCCAGGGTTTTTTGGGTTTTTTTGCCTCACCAGAGACCCATACTCTGGGGAGCAGACAGGCACTAGCCTCAGGGGAAGCTGGGGACACACCCCTCACATAGGGGTAGACCTGGCGTTATCAGTCAGCCTTTGCCTGGTATTAACAAGTGAAGAAGGGTTACAGGTGCCTCTGGAAGTCACCAAGAACCTGGGATAAGAACTATATTCCCTGAGCTCAACTAGACACTTTGCTGGGGCTCCACAGTCTGAGTCATGTTCAACCTGTTACTTTCTCCTCTTCACATGTCCTGAGACCAGGATTTCTAAAGCAACCAGAATAGGGGACCTTTAGACAAATGAAAGAGACAGACCACAAGCAGGGTGAGATGGGAAAGGAAGCCAGAACAATCCTAGGCCTGAGAGGCACCTGCAGAAACAAGCTGGCTCTGAAACAGGGGCAAGAGTCCTGGGAGAAAGGGAGCAGAGGTCTTTAGCACCCTCTGCCCAGCCTGACCCTCCAGCAGGACAAAAAATTCCAGAGCAAATAAAACTGTTTATAAAAAAAGAGTCTGGGATGTTTCATTTTGCCTTAAACCTTCCTAGTTCAAAACTGAAGGCCAAGCCACAGCTTCAGATGCCTTTTAAGGGTTTGATGTGAAGCCCATTCCAAGGTTTATATAAATTATCAGCCTGAAGATAGCTGAATGCTTAAAGCACCAAGGAGGCTGTTACTGAGTTTTCTTAAATACAGAAAGTCTATGCTGTTACAGTGTGTTCTGCCCTTTAATTATTATCAGTATTTAATTTAAAAAGAAACTGAGGGGCTTAGATAGTCCTATCTTCTATTTTGGACATTAGCAAGGTTTAAAAGTGCAGTGTCAGGAATCCATAGCTTCAGGCAGCCTGGGTCATTAGCTTGCAGAAATGGGCAGAAGGATGCCGCTGGCACCAGGAGGCACTTGTCTAACAACAAACAACAATAAGCTGCTGAGAAAGGAGGGCAGGGGAACAAAAGAATGCAAGACACTTCCTTTTCCTCCCTCTGGCCTCCCCCTTCCACATCCCCCACTTTCTTCTTTGCATGAAAACACGTCACCCACATTCACTCAGTTCTCAATTTTAAAAAGTGCCCAGATTGCTCAAAGATAGCAGAAGTAGGAGATTAAAAAAAAAAAATCTGGAACTACAAAGTTAGGAGTTTCAGATGATCTGGGGTTTGGCTGCTTAAAGGGCGGCAGAACATGGGTAGGTGCCTCAGTCACATCTCTGCAGCTTCCGTTCTCAGCTCCTCACATGGGGGAGGTAGAGCACTCCGAGGTCAACTCCATGTCAAAGGTGAGCGACTCTGCAGGGACAGAAATGCTAGTTCAGCCACCTGACCCTGCAGCTGGCAGGGCACAGCCCCTACCTGATCAGGGGACAGAGCTCACCATTGCTGGCCCATCTCCTAACCCTTCAGGCCAACGCAATGTGAGAAAAACAGACCTTCTCCTCCCTACTAGGCCTTGCCCTCTGGAAGGGCTCAATACCTCCCTGCCTTAACTCATCCCCAGTTCGCCATGTTTCAAGGTCTAAGGCTACCCTGTGTGACATGGCAGCCTTAGTTACACATAGCTACTGAGTGCCTGAAATGAGACTAGACCAAATCAAAGTGTGCACTAAACACATAATTCAAATATTTAACATGAAAAAAAAAAAAAGGAAAATAGCTCATTACTTTTTCCTTACATGCTGAAATGACAGCATGTTGGATTTATTGAGTTAAAGAATTAACTTCACCTGTGTTTTCTTACTGTTTTTAATGTGGCTACTGGAAAACGTCCACTTACACATAGCCGTGTGTTTGTTTCTACTGGAGTGTACAGCTCTAGCATCTCCTACCAACGCAGGTGACCAGCTCTGGCTCTGCACACCTGAGCATCACACAAAAGGGAACTGACTTCCCTCCTAGGGACAAAGTCTGAGCACCAAATACTCACCAAACTGCCCTCCTGCTGAGGGCTCAGCACCTTCACCATTATTTCCAAACTGCATCAATGAATCTAAAGTGCGGGGGGACATCGGCAGGTCAATGGTATTGCTGCAGGTCGTTCTGTAGGAAATGGGGAGCCGCAGGAGGGGAAAGGGCCGGGTTGACAAGATACAATGGAGGAAAAAAAAAAAGAACAAAACACACACACACAAGCCATCAAACTCTGGTCTCCAACAGAAAAATAAAAACTCAAGCTTTTTAAACACACAAGGTCACTCTGAGCACTAAAGACAACCCAGGAGCTTCCAACCCTTCACAGGGTAACTCTCACCCGGTGTCCTCCCTACTCCTGGGGAAAGGATAACTGAGGACATTAGAAATGAATGTAAAACAGGGAAGGGCAGCCACTTACGGTGTCACACAGATGAACTTGGTCTTTAGGTATGGGGCAGCACCTGGGAAAGAGGAAAACTTGGGCTTACTGATCATGACACCCTGTGATCACAGGGCAGGAGGACTCCATCCACCTCACCAGGGCGGACCTGAAACTCACTCCATCCTTACATAGACATTGCTTGGAGACCTCCATCTGCCCCTCGAGGTTGCCCTCCCTCACGTACTATTTGACAACCAAGGCACATGCAGTTTGAAGTTCAGTTTTGTCCACAAAGCTTTCCTGAGCTGTGGAGACTCTGCAGCATACCCTGCCCCATCTGAGCCCAGACTAACACCAGCCTCTCATGTTTATTCTTTCCCTAGTTGATGTAAATGTTAAAGCACCTCCATGTGGTCTGAGGATTCTATTCTCATAGCTCTCAGATAACTTCTGTGCTTATGGGGATGGAGCTATGCCACGGGTGACCACCAGATACCAACAGGACCACAGCTTTAAGAGGACATGTAGTTGACTAATGCTAGAGGCTCCAAAGCCACTTCTATTCCCACCAGCACTAATCTGCCTCTATCACATTTTTAGATAAGGGCATTGGTAACTTTAAAGATGTCTTTGTTGTGCAGGACAACCAACCCAACTAGAAGACAGTATACCCATGCCCATGAACGTCCCCAATAACTGAGAGACATGGGGCAAGGCCATCTATCCTTGGTAAAAAAGAGGGAGAAGGAAGAAGGAGGTGCTGGTAGTCCATAATGTCACTCATAATAAGTTTGTGTAAGTTAGAAATGTGAAGATCAGAATTAATTAATGGTTAAACCAATAAGTCATGGAGCCTTGAGGGCACTGACATGAAACCCTCAGAATTCAGCTGAACAAACCACAAAGGAGGGGTAGGGACGGTGGGTGGGCCAAGAGAAGCACAGATGTAAGGATGAGACGCAGAAAAAATGAGGGGCCAAGTTGTATAATGACAGTCTGAGAGGAGGCATCGAAAAGCAGCTGAAGTCAGCCATCCAACTTTATTTTTGTCCAAAAAACAAATTAACTCAGTACAGAACCCAAAGGAACTACTTGAGGCAGGGTTCTAGTGTCTTATAAATTCAACATTTTTTTTTTTTTGGTGGTGGTGGTACTAGGGTTTAAACCCATGGCCTCACACTTGCTAGGCAGGTGCTCTACCACTTTAGTCACTCCACCAGCATAAGTTCAACTCTTTTGGCTCAGATCTGAGAGAAACTAACACCCTAGCAGAGAATGATTTAATTCTCTATATAGCTGAGAAAAAACAGCTTTGGCCTGAAACAGAAATGTGGAAGCTGAGAATAACTAAAACTGAACAGAGAAGAAACAGTCAGTTCATGCGTGGCTCTGTACAAGGTTGTGAATGTACTTTATCTAATTTGTAAGAGGCTCACAATCCCTCGACCTCCCCATCAGCCCACAAAAAGACTGTGTGGGATTCTGATGGAGAAGTAAGGAGGAAAGGTTCCTGGGAAGAGGCTCTATCTTTCATGCCGTAATACTCTTACGGAACAGAGAAGAAACAGTCACAGGCTCACCTCCCTGAAGAGTCCCATTTGAACCCTCATACCGCCTCCCATGCTTGCCTCTCCACCTCATGCAGGAGGAACAAAGAGTAGTGTGAGAGGGGCTGATAAACACATCTCCCAACTGAAGCACAAGGTGGAAAGAGAGATAAGCAGCAGATAGGAAGTGAGAGCTAAACTCCTCCACTGTGTGAACAGGACTCAACAGCAGAACAAAAAGAAAAAGAAAGTCAGTGTCAGTCAGCTCAGAATTCCTTCTCCAAGCCTTCCCCATCCTGAGAAACTACAAGGAGGGAATTCCTATGTAGAGTGGGAGGGAAGCTGGTGTCATTGTTTATAGGCAGCTGGGCACCGATAGCTCATGCCTATAATCCTAGCTACTCAGAAGGCAGATACGGAGGATCGAGGTTTGAAGTCAGCCAGGACAAATAGTTAGAGAGACCCTATCTCAAGGTATAGACCCTGAGTTCAAACTCCAGGACCACAAAAAAAAAGCAACCGAGGCAAGGCAGCCAATACCAAAGGATCACTTTAAAGAGTCCACTGCTGACTCTATGATTAAGAAAAGTTAAATAGGGCTGGCGGAGTGACTCAAGTGGTAGAGCACCTGCCTAGCAAGCATGAGACCTTGAGATCAAACCCCAGTACAGCAAAAAAGAAAAGAAAAGAAAAAGTTAAAAACAAAGATGGGCAAATCAGAGACTCCTGATCAGGATAGGAACAGAGACCAGAGAGTCAAAGCTGCAAGTGGTGAATGGGAACAAAGGTCTCTGCATCCTCCATGCTGGGGACAGTCCCAGAGATTACAGATGCTTTTTTTTTTGGTGGGAGTGGGATTTGAACTCAGGGCTTCACTCTTGCAAAGCAGGAGCCACACCTCCAGTCAGTCCATTTTTCTCTGGTTGTATTTTAGAGATGGGGGGTTCTCACAAACCTGAGCTGGCCTTGATCCTGGATCCTACTGATTTCAGGATTATAGGCCCAAGCCATCAGTGCCCAGTGAAATTACAGGTTTAATGTAAAATAATTTATATTTAACTCATACAAACATATGTGCTCTTGCTGCGCCCCCCGCCCCGTCTCAACACTCCCCACTGCTCCAATACTACTAACAACCATCTCCTCCAGAAAGCCTTTCTTTAGCCCAATGATGCTGCTCACAGGGTTAGTGATGGGGAAGAAGAGCGCTGCGCTTGAGTCTGAATCTCAAACCTTCCAGTGTCTACTACCAAGACATACAGGGAATTGTTCTCAGTGTTCTAAGCATGTTGCACCTGTGTGTATATATTTGTCTATGTGTGTGTGCGTGTGTGTATATGTGTGTGTGTGTGTTGTGTATGTGTGTGTGCATGTGTATGTGTGTGTGCACGTGTGTGTGTTGTGTATGTGTGTATGTGTATGTGTGCGTGTGTGTATTGTATATGTGTGTGTGCGTGTGTGTGTGTATATGTGTGTGTGTGTGTTGTGTATGTGCATGTGTGCATGTGTATGTGTGTGTGCACGTGTGTGTATCGTGTATGTGTGTATGTGTATGTGTGCGTGTGTGTATTGTATATGTGTATGTGTGTGTGTGTGTGTGTGTGTGTGTGTGAGTGTGGTGTTACCATTTCTCCCTTTAGACTTTTGCACTCTCTGTGGGGCAGGGATTGATGAATTTGAGTCCACCTTTCTCATGAATCCTATTAGTCACCCCCAAATACACCCATAAGGAATAAAGATCCCCCAAGTTATTAAGCCATTTCCCTGTCTATATTATAAGGATCCTGCAGTTTCCAACTTTTCCCAAGAATTAAGTGGTAGAAACGTGGAAAATCAACAACTACCTGGGTCAGCTTCAGGATGCTCCTGGCTCTCGGGTCGACAGTACTTTCCAAATGCCTCCTCCTTAGGAATGTCAGGGTAAAGATAGACCAATGGAGACACGAGGATGTTGGTAGCATCCATGATCTTATAGCCCATGATGATTTCAGCAAAGGACATGTTGTTCAGCTGTTGCTTTGTATATGGCTCCACCGACTGGATCTGGGTCTTGCCTGTCAGAGGATGCAGGAAGAAAAAAAAAAATGGAACCTAGGGCCAGGTAATCTCAGAAAAAACTGCCTGACTTATCTTCCCACCTCCTGAAACCCTTACTGTCCAGGCGTGACACTGTGGAAATGTTCAGGCTGGCTTTTGAAGAAGCTATCCAGCTGGCTCATACGCTGCTGTGCATGGGATATGATAACAGGGTAGGTAAGAAAGGGGATGAAGAATAAAATTTAAATTCAAGTGTCTAGACAAATGGCCACTGGAACAAGCAAAACAAACTGGCAAACCACTTCTTCAGAACAAAGAATTTAGAAATCACCCAACTGTTTACAAGTCTGTGGGAGGCAAGGGCGTCTGAGGCCATTTCTGACCTCTAGGGGGCAGTAGGTGCTTAAACTAACAGCAGCCAGGAGGCTACAACAGCAACCACCACAAGGTGGGGCAAGCAGGGGTGGTCTTACCACTGATGTCCTTCTCCACCCAAGTGAAGGTGACTCCTCCTTCCTTGCTGCTTTCACTGAATCTCAGCAGGAAGGTGCCTGGGGGCTTGGTGCTCAGGATGGCCCGCTCCCTCTCCTTGCTGATGAAGCCCATTATGTAACTGGAGGCAAAGAGGGCCAACACAGTTTCAATCATAAGTCACTGGCTTGCTGAGAAAGCAGGTGGCTTGGTGACACGTGCCCACTTTCTGCAAGACAGCAGACTTTCAACCTACCCTTCGTTCCAAAGGGCCAGGATATACTTTTTCACAAGGTCGATGATATTGTCCAGCCAGACCCAGAAGGAAAAGCCCTTGCCAGCCATGTTTTCCTGGAGAAGAGAATAATGAGGAAGCCAAGTCCACCACCATCCTAGCCGTTTCCTTCTTGGGGCACGATTGCCTGCCAACAACTTCAAGCCTGTCTGACCTCACAAAGGTCCCACTGGCTCCTGGATGAAGGGTTCAAGGCTTTTAGGCCTCACGTTCTCCATAACCACCTTGCAGATGAGCACTCCCATTCCCACTCCCAGAGGTGACCATAGGTCTCAACAAGATCACTCACTTTGCAAAACTTAGCCCATGTGATCTGACACCCTGAGTAGTTCACACCAGGTCCTGAAGGGAAAAATAAAGAACAAAGTATAAAACTTTCAGCTTCGTTTTCTTTCCCAGAATGCCCATGCATTTGTCCCACATCAGCCATGGACCATTAGTTTTCACATATTTGAAGGTTGCCATTGGTGTGTGTGTGCGTGTGTGCGTGTGTGTGTGCGTGCGTGTGCGTGCGTGTGTACATGTGCGCACACACACACAAGCACATACATACCCAGGGCCATCGTTTGACATACACCTACAGTTGTTGTTTAGTCTAGCAGAGGTGGAGGAAGATATACTAAGCCCCCCTGTGCTACCTAGTCTGTGTGGTGGTCTGGGGACCAGCAGCATACACTAATGAGCTGACAACTGGAGTTAAAGGTTGTATTTGGTGGCAGCACAGGATAGCTATTTTTAGTTCATGTAGCACAAAAAATACCTACTTAAATTTTCTTTACTTAAAATTTCTACTTAAGTCAGGCATCAGTAGCCCATGCCTATAATCCTAGCTTCTCAGGAGGATTGTAGTTTGAATTCAGCCCAGGCAAATAGTTTGTGAGACCCTATCTTGAAAATACACAACACAAAAAAGGGCTGGTGGAGTGACTTAAGGTGTAGGCCCTGAGTTCAAATCCCAGTACCACACAAACAAAAAATTTCTACTTAAGCAAGCCTGGTGGTGCATGCTTTATAGTCTTTGTATTTGGGAGACAAGACAGGAGGATTGTAAGTTAAAACCATCCTGGGACACATACCAAGCCTGACTCAAGAAAAAAATGGGCAATGAAGCTCAGTGGTAGAGTGCTTGCCTAACATGTACAAGGCCCTGGGTTTGATCCCCAACACTGCCAAAAAGAAAACAAAAAAACCTCAAAAAGCAAAAAACTAGCCTATGGTTTTATTTGTTTTGCAGTACTGGGGTCCGACCTCAGGGCCTACACCTCGAGCCACTCCACCAGCCCTTTTTTGTAAGGGTTTTTTTTTTGAGATAGGGTCTCATGAACTATTTGCCTAGGCTGGCTTTGAGCCTTGACACTCCTGATCTCTGCCTCCTGAGTAGCTAGGATTAGAAGCATGAACCACCAGTGCTCGCCTGGCTAGCTTATGATTTATTGAAGAAATGGGCAGGAAATGTCAAATCTTTAACTCCACTTTCCAACAGACACTTAAAATATCTTCTAAGGTTAGACAGCGACAAGGAAAGAAACGTGCTTCCTACCTCATAAAAATGATCACAAGGATGCAGACTACCCCTCCACCCTAAAGCCCTGACCTGGCGCCGGTAAGGTGCCTTGCTCCAGGAAGATACTGGATGAGCAGCCCCACAGGCCAGATTCCTTGCCTGTGAAGGGCAGAGGGAAGAAGCAGTAAAATGCCGACCTAAGAGTTTCTCCGCCAGTGTGGTCAACTGCTCGATGCTCAGGCCTCGCTTTGTGGTAGAAGAGAATTGCCAGCTCAGCACTTCAGCCACTTGATCCCAGGTTCCAATTGGGGGCTTGGTGAAGAAATTCACGTTCTATTGAAAAGACGCGTTAGCTCATTTAAATGAGGGGTCCCGACGACAGCGCGAAGTTGCCCAGGGGATGAGCACTAACCTTGGGGTTGTTGGTCAGCATGTTATACCACAGGATGGATGCCCAAGCATTTGGCATCTGACAGATGTTGGAGATCACCACAACTGGCAAGGAGTGGGTCTGCGGAGAAGGTGGGGGATGAGTTAGAGAGGCAGCAGGCTCTCAGAGCCCTCAAAGTCTCTTTACTTGCACCTCTCAGGGCTTGGAGTAGAAAAAGGACATGCCATTACCATGCCAGCTGCCAACTCTAGGCAGGAGTGCCACTGAGTCAGCTCAATGCCCAGAGGGAAAGAATGATGAGAAGGGGGCTGGGGACTTGGGCTGCTGTCTGAACACAACCACTTGTAAAATCTGACGGGCTCAAAGCTTGACTCATGGTCTTCTGACTCAGCATTCATAAGACCTTGAATGCACTGTCCAAAAATGGAAGTATCCACACCTTCCCATGATAGAGCGGTCTCAGAAATCCAAGGTAAGGACCTGCTTTTCCAGGTCTATCTTAAAGGTCAAAAAGGCTGGGAAAAGAGAGTGTAAATGCCATCGCTTTCTGTACATATGAGAATAGAGGCCACTGGGATTCATTTGTCCCAGCATTGTAAAGTTGGCCCTAATCAACTTCTAAAGACAGATTTTCATATCAAGGTTACTGAAAACTAAGTGTGCATGCATCTTTCAAGCATTCAAGGCAGACTTTCTCAGACTGGATAACAAGTTTTCAGAAATAAACACAATAGGGCTGAGGTGTGGCTCAAGTGATAGAGTCTAGCAAGTGTGAAGCCCCAAGTTCAAACCCCAACACTGCCTAAAAATAAAAAAATAAAAAAACCATAGTACCCAGCAAATAGTCATCATCACACCTTCTCTAGTAAAAATTTCACTGTGCAATTTTATCTGGAGTCAGCCCTGCTCACAGGGCCAATCTGGTTCTCCTTCAGAACTCACCTCTAGGTCAATCTTGAGGCCTTGGTGGTACACCTCTGTCTCGAAGGTGATCAGGTGCAGCTCCTCGGTCACAATCAGGGAGGCCTACAATCGGGGAGGGCACTTCCTCAGAGAAGACAGCACACAGGTCTCACAGCCACAGTCTTACCACATTAAGAAGGGTAAACCACCAGGTGGCCACAGACAAATGGTCAGGGATACAACTAACAGCACATGCTCTCTTTAACATGAAGACCCTCAGATACCATGATCCTCAACCCATTTTACTTGGTGGAACTGGGTTTGAACTCAAGGCTTTGTGCTTACAAAGCAGGCACTATACCCCTTGAGCCATGCCTCCAGCCCATTTTGCTCTGGTTATTCTGGAGATGGGGACTCATGAACTATTTGCCTGAGTTGGCCTTGAACCGTGATCCTCCTAATCGCAGCCTCCCAAGTAGCAAGGATTACAGGTGTGAGCCACTGGCACCTGGCTCAACCCGAACTTTTACTTGATTTTTATTACATAGACACAAGAGGTTATTTATAAAAACATGTAAGGCACAAAGAATAGCAAAACAATGAACATCTGTGAATAGAATACACCTCATCCAGCTCATTTGTTTGGCGTTTCTTTTCTTCTTTTTCTTCTCCCTTCCTTCCCTTTTCTTCTTCTTCTTTTTTTTTCTCTCTCTCTCTCCCCCCTCCCCCTTTCCCTCTCTCCCTTCCTCCAACTCTTTCTTTCTGTCTGTTGGGGATCAAACTTAGGACCTCATGCAAGCTAAGCACACACTCTGTTGAGTTACACCCCCCAGTCCCACCACTGCTTGGAAGGCTTGTGAACTTTAAACACAATCTTATTCTGTATTCCTTTGTGACTCACTTTTTCACTCAATGTGAAATGCATCTCCATGGTTGTATTCATCTGCAATTTTTTCCTTTTCAAAGTTGTATAGTTTTCCATTGTATAATTATATCACAATATCTCTCTACTAGTGTTTGGTTCGTATCTAGAGCTTATACTCAGGCTGCTGTGACTTTGTGCACATGTCTTCTGGTACACCTATGCAAAGATTTTTTTATTGCTAAATCTCAGGAATGGCATTACTGGTTTATAGGGTATGTTCATTTTTATAATGCCAAATTGTTTTTCCAAAGTGACTGTGACAATTTTTACCCCCACCAGCAGCACAGCAACCTTATTGTTTTTTTGTTTTCAAAAATATGGAACGCTTCATGAATTTGCGTGTCATCCTTGCACAGAGGCCATGCTAATCTTCTCTGTATCGTTCCAATTTTAGTATGTGTGCTGCCAAGCACAGCAACCTTATTTTGAACAAGAGTTACCAATGACTTCTCAGAAATGGAATTCCAGTTGTTTTGGTGCTGGGGATGAAACCCAGGGCCTCATACACACTAAGTACATACTCAACCACTGAGCCATGTCGCCAGCCCCAAACCCTGCCCCCCTCTTTTTTCTTTTCTTTGCAATGCTGGGATCAAACCCAGGGACTTGGATTGGAGGTGTGGCTCAAGTGGTAGAGTGCCTGCAAACCCTAAGTTCAAACCCCAGTTCCACCAAAGAAACCAAACAAAACAACACAACGCAGGGCCTTGCCCATGCTACTAAGCAAGTATTCTACCACTGAACTACGCCTTGCACCCCTCTATTCATTTTTAAAATACTCATTTTTTCTGATCATAAAATACATTCAGGTTAAAAACAAATGTTATAGAGATGATAAAGATTAGCCTCAAATATTAACAGTAGCTTATTCCTCCAGAGTCTGTCTTGTGCTTGCTAGGCAGATGCTCTACCATTTAAGACACACCCTTAACCTCCTTGTTTTAGTTTATATTTCAGGTACAGTCTCATGTTTTTGCCCTGGGTCAGCCTCAAGCCATGACCCTCCAACCTCTGCTTACCATGTGGCTGGGATTATAGGGTGTGAGCCACCACACTCAGCTCAGAATTTTTTAACACATAGATGAATACACATAAAAACAGGGTAGCCTATTTTAAACAAATGCACTAATGTACTAATCAAATTATTTTACATCTCACTTTTTTTATTTAAATATGCCACATACATATTCCCATATCATTTCATAGAATATAGAGCACCTCACTCTTTACTGTCAACTATTATAAATTCAACTTTTTTTAAAAAGAGTATTTTTGAAAAGAGTAAGAATGGCTCAGGAGACAAATATGAGAAAAAGAACAGGGTGTCACAATTTTAAGAAATAATTGAAAACTAGTTTTTGGTCACATGCACCTATTTTTTCAAAAAAAGTTTATTATAGATACTAAGAAGCCAATAATCTGAATTATGGTAGACAAAAAATAAACAAAAGGGATAAAGAACAAGGTGGGAATTTTTGGGTTTTGTTTGTTGGTTTGTTTTGTTTTTTGAGAGTGTTTTGCTATGTAGCCCAGGTTGGCCCCAAACTCTTGATCCTCCTTTGTCACCCTCCTGAGTGCTGGGATTATCTTTTCTTTTTCTTGGGTGGGTAGGGGGGGTGTGGATATAGTACTTGAGGTTTGAATTCAGGGCTCACCCTTGCTGGCAGATAGTCTACTGCTTGAGCCACTCCCCCAGCCCTTTTTTGCTTTAGTTATTTTTTGTAGAGAGTCTTTTATTTTTGCCTGGGCCTCCATTATGAACCTCTACCTTTGCCTCTCAAGTAGCATGGATGACAGGTACACACCACCACATTCAGCTTGCTAATTGAGATGGAGTCTCTAACATTTTGCAGACTGGCCTCAAACCTCAATCCTCCTGATCTCTACCTCCTGAGTAGCTGAAATTACCACACCCATCACTTTTTTTTTTTTTAAGTTTAACTTAGACTTGTTTAATATGTTCACATTCCCTATCCTCTCTCAGTCAGAAAACACAGGTCTCTAAAAGTGGAGCCAGCTGGCAGAAGGCAGACGGGGACTTTGGAAACCCCAGGCAAGGTGGAAAGCTGCTTTTCCACCAAATGGGCGTGGAAGATAACTCAGCAGGGGACTTTCCACTTCTCCTGAGTGAGGAGCTAAGTCTCAGACTCTCAGGGAAGTGCTCAAAGCTTATATGACTTCTGAACATGTCACACTGGTCCAGGGTGACTTCTGAATGACGACAGCTGAAATAACAGGTTTCTCTCTCTCTCTCTCTCTCTCTCTCTCTCTCTCTCTCTCTCTCTCTCTTTCTCTTCCTACTCCCCCAAAGAAAACCCTCCCAGTTGGCTTCATCCCCAACAAAACTTACATCACAATTGGCACGGCCTCCATTCCCACATCTTTGCTCCCTGAGGGTCTGTAAGAAAAGAAAAAGCCATTTGTCACTGAGGCTATCCAGACCCTTCCTCTGCCAGATGCCTTTTGTTTAAGGGAGTCCCTCAGCACTCCTTCCACCTACCAAGTGCTTGAATTCTGCAGAGAGGCTGCCGTTGTTAGACTCTTCCATGTTCATCACTTTTGTGTTTGTGCCCAGAATGTTAAATTTCCGGGATCTGAATCATAGGAGAAAAATCCATCACATGGGTGACTGAGTGGCCAGAAGATAGAGTTGGATTAAACCAAACAAAAGGAAGCCTTAAGGCTGGACTTACCCTCTGAGAGCTGCAACCTCCCCAGAGTCTCTGTTAAGAATATAGATTGAAGTTAATAAAACAGGTCCCTGGTTCTTCTATTCTGACCACCTGTTATTTACTCTGATAGAAAAACTCTAGTGTTCCTGAGAAACTCCTTAAACTATTCAGTTACATTTTAGATGTTGAACATAAAATCCTGCACACGTTTCCCTAGTCAGTTAGACGCCTGCCACAAGCTAGTTCTGCTCAGGCCTCCTTTCCACCCCCAGCTTTAGGGACTCCTGCTCATTCCTCTCATCAGAACAAAGCATGCCACAGAGCAGGTCAAGGGGTGAGAACATGATCTGCACTGTCTCCATCAGACCCAAGGCGGGGAATTCTACCCAGGCTGCTCTTACATTCCATAGCTTCACCTAAATGTGGCCAAGAAAACATATGACCTTAACTGCTACCAACAGCCATGTAACAACCCTGAAGGGAACTTTGGCATGTGTGCCATACTTATGATGGCAGAGAACAGAAAAAAGATCCTGGGTCCTTGAGGACACCCATGAGTCACTGATCTCACCATCATCAGAAACTTGTCTCAACTCTGCATTTCCAGTTATACTAGGTTACAAATTTCCCTATGATTTTCTGTAAAGGTTTGCTGCTATCTACAACTGACAGCATCTCCCATGAGTGTGATTACTTTGTTAACTCTATGCTTGTGTGTGTGTGTGTGTGTGTGTGTGTGTGTGTGTGTGTGTGTGTTACTAGAGTCTGAACTTGGGACCTTGCAAACACTCTACCAATGAGCCATGCCCAGCCCTTTTTGCTATTTTTCAAATAGGGTCTGGCGGTTATGTCCAGGCTGGCCTGGACCCTGATCCTTCCATTTATACTTCCCATGTAGCTGGGAATAGATGCATGCCACCAAACCGAGTTTTTATAGGTTGAGATGGGGTCTAGTGAACTTTGTACCTGGGCTGGCCTCAAACCTCAAGTCCTCTTGATCTCTGCTTCCTCAGTAGCTTAGGATTATAAGTGTCAGCCACAGCACCCCCTAGCTGAATATATCATTTTTTATATCATATTTCTCAATGTTTACTGTTTTTTATTTTGAGTACTGTTTTTTGGTGGTGGTGGGTTTTGTTTTGTTTTGCTTTCCTGGAGGTACAGGGGTTTGAACTCAGGGTCTCACTCTGGCTAGGCAGGTGCTCTTACCACTTGAGCTATTTCACCAGACCTTGAGTACTGTTTTAAAAGTTCTTCTCTATTGCTATATATTCATGTACACTTCTAGAACAATAGCTATAATTTATTAAATAGTGCATTCCAATGGGTTACAAAAGAAAACTGATCAACTTTAAGTCATTTATAAGACTTCTTTCTATGTATCACATTTTTAACCTAATAGCCCTCATTGTCAGAAAGTTCTCCCTCATGTCTGACCTACATTTTTTACCTAACTTTTCAGTATTACAGTTTTGATGCATAATTGACAACCAATAAATCACACTATTTAAAATGCACAATTTGATGACACTGGTTTATGGAGATATTTTATACACATCTATGAAACTATCAGCACAACCAAGGAACATATTCATCAACCATGTCTCCTTGTGTCCATGTGTAATCCATCTCCCAGTCCCAATCCCATAATCTACCCCACCCCAACCCAGACAACCACTGATGTTTTCTATGACTATAAATTTATTTGCATTTTTAGGATTTTGTATCATGGTATACGTTTTTTTGGGTGGGAATCTGGGTTCTTCCATTCAACATAATTTTGAGCTTTATTTGTGTGTCACATTGATCAATAACTTATTCCCTTAGTTGATGAGTACTCCATTTATTCATTCACCTGTTAATGGACATTCATGTACAGATGCTTTCATTTCTCTTGGGTTAATGCCTAAGGATGGGCACTGCATCATAGGAAGCTGCCAGACTTTCTTCCAAAGTGGGCTGTATAATTTTGTCTTACCATACATTATGTATTTATTCACCTATGCCCTGAAGGTACCTGGGCAACATGTAAATATACCTAGTATTTATTCTGATGGACTGTATGCAGTAAAATTCTAACTTTTGAGTTGAATCCCCAATTCTAAGTTATCCTACAACCACTTACCAAATAAGCTGTCCTTTCCTCACCCAGGTGAGATAACATTTTAGACCTGTTTTCATTCCTTATCTAAACTTGAGGTCTATTTCTAGACTTCGGGTTTTGTTTCAATGATTAATCAGTTTATTCTTGTCCTTGTAAAATACTAATTTTGAAATTGGAACTTTGTGATTTTAATACATTTTAATATATGGCAGGACAATGTCCCATACTACAACCCCTTATTATTATTTTTAAAAACTTTTGGAAAATTTTGTCAGAAACTAAAGGAAAGGGGATATGAGGAGTAATTGTTCAATAAGCACAGAGTTTCAGTTTTGCAAGATGAAAATGTTCTGGAAACCTATTGCACAACCATGTGGATATACTTAATACTACTGAACTATGTATGTGAGTAAGACAATAAATTTTAGTGTGTGTTTTTTTACTATAAATTAAAATTATTTTAATTTAAAAATAAATAGGTTTACTATCTTTGCTGAAAATTTTATTTATGTATGGATGGATGTATTTATTTATTTATTCCTTCATTCTTTTAGTGGTACTGGGGGTGAAGTAAAAAACTAAATAAAGGCTGGGTGCCAGTTGTTCACACCTGCAATCCTAGCTACTCAGGAGGCTAAGATCAAGAGGATCACAGTTTGAAGCCAACTCAGGGTATTAGTTCAAGAAACCCTATCTGAAAAAAAATCCCTTCACAAAAAAGGGCTGGTGGAGTTGTTCAAGGTGTAGGCCCTGAGTTCAAACTCCAGCATGCAAAAAAGGAAAGAAAGAAGGGAGAGAGGGAAAGAGGGAGGGAAGAAGGGAAGGAGGAAAGGAAGGAGGGAGGGAGAGAGGGAGGAAGGAAGGAAAAAAACAAACAAGGGACTGACAGTCATAAGAGCTTTCATCACAGTTCAAATCTGTATCACCAGTTTTGTGGTTTGGTTCAGGCATGCTATTGACAAAGCACTGAAGGCTGTGTGTGTGTGTGTGTGTGTGTGTGTGTGTGTGTGTGTGTGTGTGTGTGTGTGTGTGTGTGTGTGTGTTACTGGGGCTTGAACTGTGTGTGTGTATACTAGCATGTTTTTTTTTGTGTGTGTGTGTATGAAGGGTTTTTTCGAGATAGGGTCTCGTGGAACTATTTGTCTGGGCTGACTTTGAGCCACAGTCCTTCTGATCTCTGCCCCCTAAGTAGCTAGGATTATAGGTGTAAGCCACCAGCACCTGGCTCTGTAAGGCTTTTGAAAACATTTGTTCACACTACAAAGATCTCTGAATGGAAATAGGCTCTAACATCAAATATTGTTTCACAAAATTCTCATTTCTCCATCCCTCATTTGAGAAAAAAAAGAGCTAAATTTAGGAATACTTACTTGTCAATGCACACTTTAATTTTAAGCTGATAATTCAACTCAGGAAATTTGACCAGCAACCTGTTTAAAAAAACAAATCTAGTTATTAAAAAAAAAATGCAGTAAGCTGTCCCCCATAAACTCTAGTTCAAATTATATAAAATTCATAACATCTCATTTCTGAGAGCTGAATAAATTACATCCCAAATTCCTCTTCTAGCCAAGGTCATCTTTGATCTTTAGTTGAGTATCACCCCTTTGAGCCAAAAGACACCAAAAAAAAAAAAAAATGCCTCAGAACTAAGGACTTGGACAAAATTGTGAAATATTCAAAAAAGTACAGTAAAAACCATTTACTAAAAAGCATTACAAGAACATGCTCTGCATCTGGTATTCTTCCTATTAAATTTGAAACCCAACCCCATACGAGGTCTCTGAGGAGGGAAATGTCACAACATAAGGGGAAAACTGTCCCATACCTGTTTGACCTGACTGGGCCTTACAGGCCCAATACTCACCTCCCTGGGGCCTTTCGGCTATCCCATTACTAAGTCTTTCTCTTTCCCTTAAAACCCTCAAATGAGAGTAGAACTAAAAATGTATGACATTATTTTGCTCCTTCTGAAGGGCAGAAGGAAAAAATATGGCCTAACAATCTAGGCCTGTAATCACAGGAATGTGCCCAGGAAGCCTCGAAAACATCATGGTTCTTTTGATTTTGACATGAGAATCAAAAAACAAGTTGATATCATGCCAACAAATTCCATACCCACAACAGGACTGCTGTGAAGCCTGGAAAGGATGGCCCTGCCTGAAGTCAAGCATGGTGCCTACAGTCCCAGCTACTCAGGAAGCAGAGGTGGGATCATTAAAGCTCATGAGTTCAAGACCAGCCTAGACAACATAGCAGAACCCAACCTCAAAAACCAAAAACACATAACAAAAAACCCAAAACAACAACAACAAAAAAGAACAACCTTGGCCACTAACTCTGTTCTGGCCCTAAAAGTGAACCTCAATAAAAGCTTCATCTAAAGCGGAAGTGCCGCGGCGGCCCACCTGACTTTAGTGGTAAACTGGACACCGGTCTTGATGACTAGGGGCCGGTCAGGATGCATGGGCATGCAGGGTTGCCGTTCAACCACAAAGGCACTGGAAGGGAAAAGGACAGTGTGTCACATGCTGCAGTGGTGACCAGTCTTCATTCTGTTCCTTTGAAGTCAGGCAACCTCTTGCAAGAGTACATGATTTTTTTTTTTTTTTGGATATAGGAAGGGGATAAGGATTCTAAGCTACCTTTTCATTAAGTTTCTAAACAGCTCCACAATTCTCTCCTCCAGCATTGGCCGGTGCTGTACGATGGGGTCCCCTTTGTAGGAAACTTTTTGCTGTAACTCCTCTAGTTTCTTAATTTGTTGGCGGGTCTGAAGTTGAGATTCTGCTAATGAGGTTATCCTGCCAATAAAACAAGAAAGTTATAAGTTACCTAAATGAGTGTGTACAGGTGAAGCAGAGAAAGGACTACCTTAGATATAAACACCACTAAGAAGCCCCCTAGCTGGGTGTGTGGCACACATCTAGAATCCAGCACTTGGGTAGACGGAGGCAGGAGAATCTTGAATTCCAGCCAGCCTACAAGTTCGAGGCCAGCCTGGGCTACCTGGTGAGACCATGGCTCAAGAAGAAGAAGGAAGAAGTAGTCCCCTAAAACAATGAAGGACAATTTTCTTTTATTGTGGTAAAATACACACAGCATAAAAATGACCATTTTAATTGCTTTAGGTATATGGTTCAGTGACATTAAGTAAGAAAAAAGGAATTCATTTTGTCTTTTAAAAATATAGCCTCTTCCTAAAATTTCAAATTTCCAAGAGGGGCTGGACATAAAGGAAGACATGAAAGAGGCATTGATGGAGTTACTGGTGAAATGTGAAAGCTCTCAAGCCCAGATATAGAGAATATGAAAGATGGAATTTGTCCTTGCTAGCCTCATCCTAACTTGTCCATGAACCAAAATGTGAAACTGGGAAATACAGAAATTGGACAACCCAAGAAGTCTTGGGCTGCTCTACAGCTCATTATCCACACAAGCTTGATCAATCCCTTAGAAGAGAAAAGGTGAAAGCAGGGGAAGAGTAAAGTGGTAGGGGTTTCTGAGCCCCTACTCCCTGTGGCACCTCCATCTTCCTACTACCAAAACTTAAACTTCTTGATTCCCTGATTGGGAAGCATTTAAAACTGTGTTCAAGCCAGTGCCAGTGGCTCATGCCTGTAATCCTAACTATTCAGGAGGCACAGATCAGGAGGATTGTGGTTTGAAGCCAGTCCAGGTGAATAGTTCATTAACACCCTATTTTGAAAATACCCTTTACAAAAAAGGGGCTGATGGAGTGGCTCAAGGTGTAGGCCCTGAGTTCAAGCCCCAGTACCGCTAAATAAATAAATAAATAAAACTGTGTTCGGGGAATTAACAGCACTCAGGCTTAGAGAAGATAGAAACAGACAGGCATTCCACATAGACTTGTCCTAAGTATTTACTTTCATGATTCATGGTTCCCCCTCACTCAAGCTTCTCCTAGTTTAAGCTCTTTTGCTCCTTGCACATGAAGGGTGCTCAAGAAAGACCTGCTGGATGAATGGAATTTGTAAAAGAGCAGATTAAATGAGCACATGAGGAATGAGCTGGAGGGTGGAAGGTGTAGCTAACTGGTAGAGTATTTGCCTAGCATGCTAAGGCCCTGGGTTCTATCCCCAGCATAGCCAAAACAAAAAAAACAATGAATGAGTCTGCTAATATAAAACTATGGGTTTCTATCTTTATATATGTATACTGTATACATAATGACAGACAAGGAGAGTGATGGCCACCAAAATGTTAACTACTGGTGGCAATTAATGACTGAATTGTAAAATTTTTTTCTCCTCTTTATTCACTGTCTATATTTGAACTTTCCCCTTTTTTGCATATATTGTGGACTAGGGGTGTGGATCAAGTGGTAGAGCACCTTCCTAGCAAGTGTGAACCCTGAGTTCAAACCCCAGTACCACAACACTATCATGTGTTGTGTTAGATTACTGAAATAACTGGAATTAAAAACTTAGGGAATTGGAGGCATGGCTCAAGGGGTAGAACACCTGTTTTGCAAGCTTGAAACACTGAGTTCAAATTCCAGTCCCACCAAAAAAAAAAAAAAAGAAAAAAAGATTTTTCTCTTTAGGACTGGTGGAGTGGCTCAAGCTAAGAGCACTTCCCTAGCAAACATGAGGCCCTGAACTCAAACCCAGTGCCACAAAAAAAAAAAATTTTAGTCTATGTGCTAAATATAATGAAACCAAAAGTAATATTTAAATTATTAAATATTTTTTAAATATAGTAATATAAATATACTTTGATTTAAAAGTTGTCCAAATGACGTAAAAACTTTAACTCTTGGACTATATTTGAGTATGTGAAAAATCCCCACATTAAAGATACCAATTTGAACTGCATTATAGCTCAAGAGTAGAGCTAGGATGCCCAAGGCCTGGGTTCCATCCCCAGCACCACAAAAAAAAATTTTTAAAGACAGAGAAAGAGCAATGGTACCAGCTCTGTGGTTATGACCACGATTCAAGGCAGCTTTCTAGAAGGAAATAAAAAGTATTTCTTGCATCTCTTACCAGTTCTCCAGACGATCCAGGCAGATGTTGGGAGGGCCTCCAATGCATGCAATCTGTTGTCGCCTCTTCCAGTCAGCCAACTCTTCATCCGTGAGAGTTTTTTGCACATACTCCATTGCTGACAAAAGCCCTGCCAGCTCACTCACGATGCTCTGGTTGGAAACCAAAACAAAGTCAGAAAACATTTCCCCAGACTGTCTCTAACCACAATCTTTAGCCAGTTCCAGAGAAGGAACTTATTAGAAACTAGTCAAGTTGTGTCACGAGAGGTGCCTGACACCAGGGGAAGCAGTCCAAGGCACTTACTCTCCGCATCTGGTCCAGTGCTGTGAGCATCTGTTCCAGCTGCTGCATCTTCTGCCTAGTCACAGACTGGTTGTTTCCATTCAGATCCTGCATGTCTGTGAGGGAAGGAAAGACTCCTTGACCAGCTGGAATTCCCAGCCTTCTATATAAGGCTCAGAGCCCAGGATAGCAGTTCATACCTATAATCCCAGCCTCGGGAAGACAACAGGTTCAAGGCCAGCCTGGGCTACACAGTGAGACTTGACTCAAAAAAAAACCAACAAACAAAAAGGCAAGTGCCAGAGTGCCAGGAGCCCCATCACTCCCCACCAGAAAGTCTAAACGCAGAGTCAAGACAAACAAGTCCTTAAACTCAATTACACAGACTCACTTTCTACAAATTTAAATGTTTCTAATATTCACTTGCCTCCTTGACTCTTGAGGGTTTTATAGTTGAAATCAAAGTCATCCTGAAGATTCTCTACCACTTTCATTTTCTGTTCTAAATCCTGTTTAAAACAAACAAACCAAAAACAGAAGTGAAAAGAGAAGAAAAAAAAAAGAAAAAATGAAAAGAAGAAGAAGAAGAAGAAGAAGAGGAGGAGGAGGAGGAAGAAGAAGAGAAAAGAGGTTTCCTTGAAGAGAGGCAAAGAAAGTTGTTGAAAAGAATGAAAAGGTATATGCAAGACCCCCATGCTAAGCTCCTGACTGAGGCCCACTTCACCTGTACGCGCTTCCGAACATCCTGAAGGTGTTGCTCCAGCATCTGCTGCTTCTCTGTCACCACAGCAGCTGTAGGGTGGTTGGCCTGGCCCCCTTGCTGACAAAAAGAGGGTGAACACTCATGTGAACGCATGGAATATGGCAAGAGGAACAGCCCCATCAAGTCTCAGTCCCACCCTACTTATCCCTCCTGCTTGGCAAGTGATGCCACCACCAGCAGTGGTACTATGGGTGGGTGCAGAGGAAACCCTCACATTAGTGTACCTGTGTCACTGGCTTTTTATCAACAGATCACACTGTATACCCACTCTGTACCGTCCATATGCTGACATAAGACATGGTCTCTGTCATCAAACAGTTCCTGGGTAAGTGTATTTTTAAAAAATTCAGAATGGGCTAGGGCTGTAGCTCAGTGGTAGAGCATGTACTTACATGGGGGAAGCCCTGGGCTCCATCCCTGGCACCATGAAAACAAATAGAGAATGAATGATGATAGCAGATGTCAATGGCTATTTAAACATGGTGTGCAATCTATTTCCATGAAATAAAAAAACATCCTGCCCCGGGGATGAAAGTCTGAATCCACAGATAATCTCCCAGGGAAGAAGGAAAGGCTGACACCTTGAAAAGACCAATTATCCCATGAAATTTCAAAGTGATAGGTTTTGTCAAAGAACAATAATAAAAACATCTTGCAACAGAAAAGACCATGTAAACACTACAGTGAACAAGCCAGTGTAGTAGTGACTCCAGTACAGAGATAGCAATCAAAGGAGCACTGTGAGCTAGGAAAGATGTTATCAACCCAGTTAGAAATCCTCAGGCATCTGATTTCTTCCTCGATTTCACACTGTAACTAACCCTCCAGCTCTATACCCTGTAATCTCTTAAATTGATCTCTTGTGTCAAGGGCTCAGTTTAAATCCCAACAGTCAATCTCTTGGCTTCTAATCTCTCTCAATTCCAATCTGCATTCTCTACTGCTACCAGAAGTCTCCAAAATAGGTCTGAACATGCCAGTTTTAGAGGGATCCATTCTCTCCCCTTCCCACATCTATCCAAACCCACAGAACACAAACTTCTTAGAAGTCTTGGAAATACAACCCCCACCCCACTTTCTCTCCCAGTGGTGGGAATGACTCATCTGATTGGTGAAACCGAAAGACCATGCACACCAAGATCTTTAAAGAGTCCAGCACTGAAGTTGGTGCCTCTCCCCTCACTCCTTTCTTTCTGAACATGCCTAGAGCAGAAGTGAGGACCTAGTCTCTGGAAGTAGTTCTAGAAGCCTCCTTTCTCTGTGTTCAATGCACACTGGTCTACAGTCTCTGAAGCTTTATATGGATAGCTGCAGAGGTGAGCTTTACAAACCCCATTTCTCCACCCAAGTCCTAACTCAGAGGACAGGCTCTAGAAACTCCCTATTGTTACCAGCTCAAGCCATGCTTTCCAGTCTAGTTCTACCAACAACACAGCTGCTATCGTCATCTGTATTTGATTCCCTTGTCTGTTTCTTAATTGGTACTGCACTAAAAGGGAGAAAACAAGGAGCTGTGGCTCAAGCAGTAGAGTGCTTGCTTTGCAAGCATGATGCCTTGAGTTCAAAAACCTAGCCCCACCAAATGGGAGAAGTTATCACCCACAGAAGACTGTCTCTAATACCTTTATTTGTAAAGACTTTATTAGGGGCTGGGGGTTAGAGGTGTAGCTCTTTGCTAGAGCATTTGCCTAGTTTGTGCAAAGCTCAGGGTTTGATCTCTAGCAATGCTGGAAAAAAAAAAATGTCTTATTGGCTCTTTACTCCTTCCAGGTGTAAACATCTCAGCCCAGTACACAAATATATTCATGCAATCTGCTAACAACTTAATCTTTTCCCTCCCTGTACTTTAGTCACCCCTAACTACCCACCCTGCACAGACTGTGCACTTTCATACTTCATCTTCCCACTCACCATTCACTCAGCCTGGTATAGGCCTCTGAGCTCACCCGAGCTCATTCACCTTCAGATTTGGCTCAGATGTTCACTCTGCTGTGAAATCCTATTCAGCTTCCTTAGACACAATTACTCACTTCATCCTGTGTTGTTCTCATTCTAAGTGTTTGTGTACCTGTAATCCCGGTTAGCCTTTGAGCTCCTGAGTAGCAAGGATTACATCTTTTCTTCTCTTTGTACTTTTACTGATGCTGCACATTTAAGAATGTGCCATGATGTAAACAGAAAATAACAGCGAGGCCTGGGTTAAGGCCACAAATACCCAACTTATAGCTCTGTATCAGAAATTGTGAACTTCTCTCAGGGCCAGGTGGTAAATATTTTTGGCACTCTAGTTCATATAGTCTCCGTAGCAAATATCCAGCCATACCATTGTGGCACAAAAGCAGTCACAGATAATAATGCATAAATGAATCAATGTGGCTGAGTTCTGAAGAAAAAAAACTCTTCATTTACAAAAGTAAGCTGGATGCAGGGGCTCATGCCTAAAGTCCCAGCTTCTTGGGAGGCTGAGGCAGGAGGATCACTTGATCCCAGGAATTTGGGGCCAGCCTGAGCAACACAGCGAACCCTGTCTCTAAAACAAACAAACAACCAGAAAAGGCAAAGAAACACAACAAAACAAAAGCAAGTAGTCAGCTGGATTTGGGTCATGGTCAGTTTTCAGACCCTGGATCTAATAAGATTGGGACATCCTTGGGGTACCTTTTGTGTTCCTACCTCCCATGGTAAAGTTGGAGTCTATTCAAATTGACTTAAATTGGGTATTTTTATTTTGGGGAACAGGACAAATACACAAAGGTTCTCACAACATAAAACCCTAGTGATGCATAGGCAAGGCCTTCTTGCCAATTTCTCAGTCTGCAGGGTATCAAATTGTGAGTGTACATCTGAGCATGTCAATTTTTTGCTTAAAATTCTTCAGTAAGGCCCCATCTCTCACAGTAGCAGTGACAGTGGTGATGGTGCCATAGCAGCAGCAGAAAACAGTTCACACATTTCACATTTATGTGTCTGATACTATTCTAGGCATTTGGCACATATGAATTAATTTTGCAGTGTAGGTACTATTACCATTCCCATTGGAGGAAGAGATAGAATAAATAGTTTTCTTAAGCAAGTGGCAGAGGTGTGGGATTCAAGCTGAAGCAGTTTGGCCCCGTGTGGTAAACTTCTCTTCCAAGGCCCAGTTGCTAGATATGAGTAATTAAACACCTCCATGTGGCCTTTGACTACCTTATTTCCCCCACTCAGCTAGATGCTGAACTTTCTACCTTGCACCCAGGAATACGTGCGTTTGTTTCTGACTTTGAACATGATCTTCTTTCTACCCAGAGCACTCTGTCTCATCCTCTGCTTGCTGCACTATCCTCAGTCTTAAGTCTTAACTATGGCTGAGAGGCATAGCTCAAGTGGTAGAGTGCTTGCTTAGCAATTGCAAAAGGCCCTTGGTTCAATCCCCAATATTGCAAAAACAAAAAATATTTTAAGTCTTGGCTCAAAGACTACCCCCTCGCTCTGTGATGCCTTTTCCACTGCCTAGGTTATATTTAGATGTTCATTCTTCTATCTTCCCATTACATGGTTCACTTTCAAAAGAAATAAGTAGTAAGGACCAGAGTTCAAACCTCAGCATTTCCAAAATAGTAATAATAATAATAATAACAATTATAATGATAAAAGGAAGAGAAGAGCCTGGTATGGAGGTTCATTCCTATAATCCCAGCCACTCAGGAGGCAGAGACAGGAGGATCACCAATTTGAGACTAGCCTAGTCAAAGTTAGTACAAGACCCTGTCTGAAAAACAAACTAAAACCAATAGTACTGGGAACATGGTTCAAGTGGTACAGCACAGGTCTTGCATTCAAGGCCATGAGTTCAATCCCCAGTACTGCCACACACATAAGAAAACCAGAATACCCATGTTCACAGCAGCATTATTCACAATAGCTAAATGTGGAAACTAACCAACTTCTCATCAACAGGTGAGTTGGGAGCTATGCCAATATTCTGTCTCTTCCTCCAATGGGAATGATAATAAATAGTACCTAAGCAGAATTAGTGTCAAATGCCTAGAATAGTATCAGACACATAAATGCGAAATGTGTGAACTTTTGTACACCAGCTGGCCTCAAATCACTATCCTTCTGATCTCAGCCTTCCAGGTAACAGGATTATAGGTATGAACCACTGGTGCCTGATGGGTCTTTGTCTTTTTTTCAAATTTTTTTTGTTGTTTTTTTGCTGGTGGTGGTGGTGGTACTGGGATTTGAACTCCAGTCCTCATGCTTGGTAGGCAGGTGTTCTACCACTTGAGCCACTCCAACAGCCCTTTTTGGTGGTGTTTTTTTTCAAGATAGAGTCTTGTGAACTATTTGATTGGGCTGGCTTTGAACCTCAATCTTCCCGATCTCTGCCACCTGAGTAGCTAGGATAATAGACTTGAGCCACTGGCAACCAGCTTTTCCATATATTTTTATGCCTGTTGGTTTATGCCTATGGGTTTATTTAAGTTTTTTCCTTCTTTTTTAGCATATTAAATAATTCATTATTTATTGCATTATACAGTTGTTTGGCTTCCCATTTCTCCCAGGCCAGAGCTTTGTTTCTTCTTTGATCTCACCTGGGCTGCAGTGGCTGCTGTCTGCAGAAGGCGGGACTCTTCCCACAGGCACCGGGCCACAATCCGGGCAATTTCCATTGGCTTCTCAAGATACCTGCTCTGTAAGTAGAAAAGAAAGACAATGAAAAGCTGCAGTAGACCATGGAGACATGGACGGTATTTTTCTTACTTAAAACTAATTTCTGCCTAGCATACACACATGAACATACACTACATGAAACAATGGACTGAAGACTTCAGAACCTGGCTGAAACAGTGGAGCAGGAAAAGGAGGAAAGAAGAAAAGTGATTACAATGAGAGAAAGCACATGAGTCTGCATGTTTGGACAGTGTGCTGGCCTGGTCTTACAGGGAGGTGAACGACTTTGTCCAGGAACATCCAATTTATGGTCAAACCTTCAACATTTAAAACTAAGAGTCATGATCCTGTGAGGAGTAGGTTATTATTAACATGCTAACATAATATGATTAAGATTACAGCACTCCCTTTATTCTTCAATTGTGACATGAGAAGTGAATTTCCGGGAATGATGCTTAAGGCCAAGATACAAAGAATTGAGAAAGGGCTAAGTACTTCTCCTTTGATTGAAAGTACAAAACTGGTTCTCATTATTTAGTCAAATGAGGAAAGAAGTACTTCCAGGAAAGAAAGCTAACACGCTATTGCTCAGGTCCAGTGTCTCTACACAATTTCCCATCGCACCTGGAGGAACTGCTTGATTCTTCGCAGATTGTGCTGATAGAGAACGTTGGACTCTTGCAGGAAGCGGCTATACTGCTGGTCGATCTCACCCAGAAGATTATGAAACACCAGTGTGGCATGTGACTCTTTGCTGGCTGCATATGCCCTAGGAAAAGGAGACTGAAAAATGATTCTGACCCTTATGTGCACACACACATAGAAATCACTTTGAGGGGGGAAAAAAAAAGGCAAGCCTGATGCTATAGCCCACTCATCATTTTCTGGTTTTACTCAATGATGAGATACATACCATCAATTTAATAATTATTAACAAGGATTCCAGATAATAATTGGCCACTCTCATAATCTGTGTGTATAAAATATTTGAGCAAAATGGACAGATAGGCTATTTTGCTTCAGATTTTCAGTCAGGTCTGTTGTGAGATTAGTATGAATAAGTGTGTATTAGTACAAGTAATCCCAGGCTAGGACAGCCTATCTCCAACATCTCTGAATCATCTCCTTGGTCCTTCACCAAGTCAAGGTAGTATTCTGGAAAAATTAGGTCACATTAACATAGACCTGAATTAGACCAAAATTAATAGGTGAACCTGAGTACATTAAGGTGAAGGAAATAGTTGCCATCATTTTCTCTGTGAAAGGAATCTATTTCTCTTGCTCCATGTCTCCTTCCTTTAATTAAACGGAAACTACATGTGTGGACCAAAACTTCTAACTATGAAGGCATTCTCAGATTAAAAAATACTTCTACCTCATCTCTGAAGTATCAGAATACACAGAGAATCCCCAAGTAAATGAGATCCAAATCAATTCTTGTTGTTGTTATTGCCGGTAGTGGGGTTTGAAGTCACACTTGCTAAACAGGCATTCTATCACTTGAGCCACTCCACCAGCCTGTTTAAAATAGGGTCGCACAAACTATTTGCCTGGGCTGGTTTCAAACCACGATCCTTCTGATCTCCACCTCCTACGTAGCTAGAATTACAGGCGTGAGCCACCTGTACTTCTACCACCAAGCAGGTTGTTTTAGTGTGCCAAAAGAGAGTTATACATCTGCCCTTATAATACAGAAAATGCTTTACAACATTAGCATTACCTCTGATCCTCTGATCTCATTTTCCCCATCACCTGTTTTTTTGATGAAACGGTTAGCAAAGCATGAAGCTGGAACAGATTATGTATCTCGGTTCAAGCCAGAGTTAACAGTTCAGGGAATTCCCCAAGAAGGACGTACCAATCTTGACTCTCAATCCAAGGTGCCAGAAATTGCCGTAACTCCATTGGGAAGCTGTCGCTGTACAGCTGATGAAGCTGCTCCAGGTACCGTGTGTCAAGCTGCTGTAACTGATTCCATTGGGCCATCCTGCTGGACTCAGGGGTCCCAACTGCAAGTCAAAGAGTTTGTATGGTCACTACAAGCCCCAGTACGGGTAAACAATCTGGAAATACCCCATTTACCCAACACAGATGTAGGGTGTGTGATCAGGGATCCTTCGGGAAGGATCCTGCATGTTTTTCCCAAGTTTGAACAATCTATACACACTCCAATTTCTACCTCTGAAACATCTTAGCTTCTTTTAAACTGAGATGCAAGTAGACACATGTCAAGTGCTAGGATCCACTATGTACCAAAGCTGAAAAATCCCTTAACTTCCAGATTTCTATTTCCTCATCTGTAAAATAGAGATATTTCCACCCATCAGGGCTACTGAGATAGTATCGCTAATGCCTCTGATTCAGCACATAGCACCTAACAGATGCTCAACAAATGTCAGTTCCTTTCTTTCCACCCCACACTGCTTTTGTTTTTGGAGACAAGGTCTTGCTATACACCACAGGCTGGCCTCGAACTCACAATCCTCCTGCCTCAGTCTCCTGAGTGCTAGGATTACAGGTGTGTGTTGTGACCTATACCCCACACTTCTTTTAGGTAAACACAGAAAACCCACTGCATGACCAAAATGTAGAATGTAGATGTTCAGGGAGGACCAAGAGCTAATTCTGACACTAGAGGTTTAAGAGGGTAAGTGGGAGTGTGCCTGGGATTCTCCCACTTAGTACAAAGTAATTTTGTTGTTTATATAAATCTGGGATGAGGTAGAAGGGATACAAGGTATACAAGTTGTCCACAGTTCCTGACTATTGCTGAAATGTTCAGCAATGAGAAACCAACAGGCTAATTACTTTTAGTCCTCTTTCTGAATAGTTTGAGTCATAGAAATGTCTGTACAGACCAAATAATCTTCAGATCTAAAAATATCTACAAGAAAGAGTCAAAGACTAAGGTGTAGTACACATACACAAAACACTAGCTAGAATAAAAGCACAACCATGCTGAAGCACTTTAACTATGACACATAATAACCTCAGGAAGAAACCAAAGCCATTAGATCTCTTTTGTAATCTTCACATTATGCTAAGTTAAAACTACCTCATGGCCTAAAAGCTTCATGATCTGCCTTATGTTTCTCAGGACTTGATTAGCATAGAAATTTGTATTCCAATGTATGTAGATTCTACTAAACGAGAATATAATGAAACAACAGTCCATAGTTCAGCATGGTAGACACTAACCACGTGACCACTGAGCAATGAACATGTGACCAGATATGCTGACCAGTGTAGGGGTGGAGATAGAGATGATTGAGGGTCAAGGCCAGGCGAGGCAAAAAGTTAGCAAGACCCTGTCTCAACCAATATATCTGGATATGGTGGCACACACTTGCAATCCCAGCTATTCAGGAGGCCTCAGGTAGGAGAACTGCAAATAGGAGAATTGCAGTCTGAAGCCAGTCTGTACCTGAAAAATAACTAAAGCAAAAAAGGGCTGGGAATCTGGCTCAAGTGGTAGACAGCCTGCCTAGCAAGCACAAGATCCTGGGTTCAAAACCCTAGTAGTGCCAAAAAAAAACAAGATATGCTGGATTTGAAGACTTAGTTTAAAAAAATAGAAAACAAAGAAAATAAAACATTTCAATATTGACATAATATTTTTGATATGCTGGGATAAGTAAAATATATTATTAAAATTATTCTGTTCATTTCATCTTTTTTTTAATATGACTACTAGAAAATGTTCTATTTTTATTGGACATTATTCCTCCAGATCACGTAACCAAAAAGCTATGGCTCTCCTAATTAAGAGCTTAAAGAAAGAGTTACCTGCTTGCCATAGTAAGTTCCAGTGTTATACATTAAATTTTTAAAAATAGACTATTTAATTGTGTATCTTGGATACAAATGCAGCGTCATTGTATCCCTAGAGTCATTGGAACTCCCTAAAGTTCTAAGTTAAAACCATAAAACTGCATCCCACTACATCTTGTGAATTATAGCAGAACACTGGAATCAGATGTGCACATTTACATTTTCAAACTAACATAATGTAAAAAAAAATTATAAGTTGTCAAAACCTGATTAATTTCTAGCCCATAATTCAGAGGCTTGTTCTATTGTTGCTATTTGGATGTTTTAGAGACAAAGGAGGGCTAGTAAATGGTCTAATAACTGTTCTACTTCTTAAACCAGAGATCAGCTAGTAATTTTTTTTCTATAAAATTAAAGCACCAAGGATGACCGACTTTGTATTTTACCTCTTCGTCTAATCACCATAGGTAACACTGTAACACTATCCGACATGAGAGAAAAATTACTCTAAATTAAAGTCAAAGAACCAGGTGATGGTCTAAAACAGCAGTGTCAATAGTGATTTCCTTATAGGCTGCTTAGTTACAAACCAAATTTAATTCACAGCAGCCAGGCAGCAAGCAGACCCAATATCCTAACCAAGGACAGCATACCATTAAGATGACTAGCCAAATTGTCTAGGAAAATCATTGCCAATTGGCTTTGCTACAACTGTTTCACCGGGAAAAAAAATCAGAGTCCACTTGTTTTCACAATCTCAATTCTACTTTTTCAAATTACAAATTAACCTAGGGGCTAGAGATGTAGTTCAGTGGTACAGTGCCTAGCCCACGGTTCAATCCCTGGTGGTACAAAAACAAACAAGTTAATCTAAAGAACTCCACTAAGTTTTTTTTTTTTTTTTTTTTGAGACAAGGTCTTGCTACATAGCACAGGCTGGCCTCCCAACTTCTGATCCTGCTGCCTCAGTCTCCTGAGTGCTGGGATGACGGGCATACACTACCACACCTGCCTTCCACTGAGTTCAAAGTAAGGTATTTCTTTTTTTTTTTTTTTAGTACTGGGGTTTGAACTCAGGGCCTACACCTTAAGCCACTCCACCGGCCCTTTTTCATGAAGGGTTTTTTCAAGATAGGGGTCTCGTGAACTATTTGCCCAGGCTGGCTTCGAACCATGATATCCTGCTCTCTTTGTCCTGAATAGCTAGGATTATAGGCATGAGCCACCAGCACCCGGCTGAGGTATTTCTTAACTATGAAAAAATCCTAAGCCTGTAGTTTAATAACCACTTCACTGAATCTTAGAACAAACAAGGTGATTTGCACAACAATCTGAGTACCAAGTACTATTCTCAGTGTAATAGGAGAGAAGTAAAGTCTGTCTGCACAGTGGCTGGCATAGAGCACTATGAGGGCTTTCTTCTCTCACAGCATCTACTAGGTTTAAATTAGCAGATCATAAACATTAATGTACAAAGGAAAGGTAAAGGTTAATACTATCTTCTATAGCTGAAGAGAAATGAAAAAGGAAAATGAAACAGAAATTACCAAAGGCTTTCTGAACTTTTCAAAACAGGAATTTCTCAGCACCTTGGGGGATAACCTACCAACAAGTCGTAAGGCAAATAACTGTTGTCAAATAAGGAACTCATTAGTGTACAATTACTTAAAAAGTTTGTTCAAAGTCATAGTTCTCATTCACATACTTCAATCTAAAGAAACAAATGGATATGTTGAGGAACCCAGGGGTCACTTATGAAAGGGATTAATTACATCACTTCATAAAGCTTTCTAAATTAAGACTTAAATTTCATACTATGCACCAGTGGATTTACAATGGGACAAAAGAAGGTGAAGACATGAATGAAAAGCAGGTATACACGATAACCCAGAACAGAAACTGATCTAAAGATAATTTCTGTTCCACCTTGCAATATGTCACGAGATTCTTCTTTGGACTTGCCCACGCTTTATACTGAAAATACCTATATTTTAAATTATGCATACACATATTTTATCCGATGTTTACACTAAGTTCCTCTTTGCTATCAGAAAGACCCAGTGACTAAGGCAACTGAGGTATAAAGTGACAAAGAAAAATACCTGTAGTCATTTCTATAGGAACCAGTCTTTTTAAGAAGACATTTTACAAAGATGATAAAAGTAATAATGTTAACTGTGGAAATTTTAGAAAAATACCAAAAATAAGATAAAAGATAAAATCGTATGTGCAAGGTGTGGTGTCACATTTACAAGGCTGAGGCAGTAGGATGGTGAGTTCGAGGCCTGCCTGGACTAACAGAGCAAGACACGATCATTAAAAACAAAATTTTTAAAAATCACCCATATTCCACCATCTACTATACAGAACTACAATTTCTTCACGTTATTTCAATATGAACATAGTCTCATATGCTTTTAAAGTTTGTGATATAGGAAACAATTTTTTTTTTTTTTTTTTTTTTTTGTGGTACTGGGGCTTGTACTCAGAGCCTACACCTTGAGCCACTCTACCAGCCCTTTTTTTGTTATGGGTGTTTTCAAAATAGAGCCTTGTGAACTATTTGCCTGGAGCTGGCTCCTCCTGATCTCTGCCTCCTGAGTCACTAGTATCACAGGCATAAGCCACCAGCGCCCAACTGAAATTTTTGTTTAAAGGCCACAAAAGAACTATTTGGCCAGGCACCATGGCCCAGCCTGTAACCCTAACTACTTGGAAGTCTGAGGTTGGGAGGATCATGGTTCAAGATCAGCTAGGACAAACAGTTTGCAAGACCCCATCTTGCTAGTCAAGCACTCTATGGTTCTCTGATTATTTTTGAGATAGGGTCTTGCTTTAGGCCCAGGCTGGCCTGAACCATGGTCCTATTTATGCTTCCCATATAGCTAGGATGACAGGCATGCACCCTCAGCCCAGTTTTTTTTTTTTTTAAGTTGGGATGGAGTCTCATGAACATAGTCCCCCACACACACGTACTCCCTTGCAGGCCTCAAAAAGCAAACTTCCTATTCACTACCCCCAAGTAGTTAGGACTACAGGCTTCAGTCACCAACACCCAATGGATCTGTTTTTCTCTTTTTCTTTTTCTTTTTTTTTTTTTTTTGGTGGTACTAGAGTTTAAACTCGGGACTTCATGTTTGCTAGGCAGGTGCTCTATCACTTAAGCTATACCTTCCAGAAGAATTTAATTTGTGATATTTATTTATTCTTATCATATCAAATTCCAGAAATAATCTGA